GCAGACAGTAAACATAAACAAACATATCTTGTTGAACGTCTACATGTAGAGTGTGCAGTTTAAAAATTCGTTGAGAAATACAGGGAATCCATAAATTGCTTCCAATTGTAAATCTCAGTAGGACAAAACAAACATTTCCAACGTTATTGAGAGCTTTTTAGAAAATAAGATGAGTGTCTTTATTAATGTTGTATTGCAGACCACAAGTGAGATGAAACAGCATATCTAGGTCCCACAAACTCACACAGTATAAATGTTAAAGACATCATTGTTTGTTTATAGTATACATATTCAACAAACGGCTTATGACTAATCCTGCATTGATGACATTACACATCATGAAATAAGCCTGTATCCCCCCAAAATCAAATGTTTTCTTCAATTTACAGTAGATAATGCATTGAGTACAAAACAAGTAGTATAAAGGAGAGAAATTAAAGTTTTGAGATTTTGTTAGTTTATAGACCTTGTTCATCTCCTGAGGAACAGCACTTGATTTTCTAACTTAATTCTTTAGTGTGACTAAGTACACAAATACTTATATTTACAAAATGAAAGTCTTGCCTCCATCAGGTACCACTTCAGCCAGCAGCATTAGCAGCTGTATGTATTACTGATTTGATGAACACTCAAAGCCATTTTAGTCTCACTTCGCAGGAAAAATTTCATTTGCATTTTTCTTTATCCCAGTGTTTTTGGTTTGGCCATCGCAGTGTTGTACAATTAGGCATTTGGCAATATATAACACAGAGTGTGTTTTACACCTGGACCAAGAGAAATCTGTGTATGCTAAGGAATTCACTTATCTTAATCAAGGTAAGAGAGACCTGCCCAATAAAATAATGATGACATGCTCTTTGAAGTCTGTCAAAAAGCAGTAGCAAACTTCCAGTTGCTTTTGTTTCCTTACGGTTTTTCAGTTTAGAAAGACCACGGGCATCTGCCTGAATCTTTTTCCCTGCACCAAAGCTTTCAGTTCCTCTCAAAGACATGAGTTTGGCCAAGTGCTGGCCTCACCTGCCTTTTTCATCGCCTCTTAAGGATTATTGTGATTGGTCCTCTTAAATTCAGTTTCATGAAAATTACTATTTATATACTAGGTGGAACATTTTCGTTATCTCATGGATTTGTGTAAATACTGTCCTTTGAACTATCATCTTAATAATTTCTGAAAAATTCTATAGCCATGAACGTAGGTTCTGTTGGTAATTAATACTGAAAAGATGTGTGTTATGGTATCGCTAGTTGTAGTTTTTTTCCTAAACACCAGCTAGGTCAAAGTGGTTGCTCGCATTCTTCAGCTCTTTCCTATCATTTTAGAGCTGACTTGGGTCTCTTTTCCCATAAGCATCATAATTATACTTTCTGGTTTGTAGTGACTGAAAGATGGTATTTCATATTATTTTATTTTATTTTCAATATTTAAAGTGAAAGCACAAATCCAGTCCCTTGTGTTGTTTGTCATTGGAAAGTTAAGTCTAGCATTCTTTGAAAGATAGTCTTACTGAACATATAATTTTCATTTGCTCTTTATTCAAATGTTTTAATTGCCTTATAATCTGGCCTATACAGTTTCTGAGACAAATTACACCACTAAATGAAGCTGTGTGTACCCACATAGCATATATTTTTAGCTAGTAGCTGCTGTTAAGTTTTTCTTTACATTTTGACTCTCAGTGACTGAGCCATGATTCAATATACTTTTTTTTTGTATGTGTATTGATGATGTTGGTATCATTTCATGACTCAACGATTAAATATTACCATCAACATTGGAAAGATGTGGTAGTTATTGAATGCAGAAATCTAGCTGTATGTTTTTTAATTTGTTCACTTTGAAGCTCCCAGGTGTTATTTGACTGATTCATGGAGTTACAGTCTGTCTCCTGTAACTTAGCATAACAGTAAAATATTCACAGCTTAGTGTTCCCTTAAGTCTTAAAGACATTCCTTGAAAGATTTCTCAACCCAATTTCTCCCCAAATTTAAAATATTTGGAAACTTATGACATAATTTCTATCTGCCTCAGATTGCCTGAACGTTTGCTGTCTCCTCAAATCAGCAGGACTATATATTCCTTTTGATCAGTTTACCAAAGCCAAGGTCTAGATTACCTTAGGCAAAACATGGGCACAGTCACTGCAATATTATTCATTTTCCTTTTCTCAACCCAGAGTATTGCTAATCTAATAGGGAAACCTGATAAACTCCACTAAGAGTCTAAGAGAACTCTTAAGAGCGTTTGGCAAGCTTGCAAGATTAAAATCAACACACAAGTCCCCAAATCATTTGTATACACAAACAGTGACATGACTGAGAAAGCACTTGCAAGATGAATCCCACTCACAACAGTTACGAAAGAAGTTTCAATACTTGGGATAGTTTAACAAAGATATGAACTACCTTCACAATGAAGTTACAGAACACTAAGGAAAGAAATGAGTATAAGATAACCCGCATGGGAAGTTAATCAGCAGATGGAAGATCTTCCTCTCTGTCTCTCTTCTTCTTTGTATATCTGACTTTCCAATAAAAATGAATCTTTTAAAAAAATAAATCAAATAAGACATTTGTACAGTATTCTATTTATTTTAAAATAGCTCTCTGACGAAAGTTGAAAGTCAAGTGTTTATTTTTCAAATAAGAATTAAGTGAAGCAACATCATACTCAGAACTCTATAAAGTACATTGACCTCTGGCTATTAAAATCACATGAAAATTGAAAATATATGATTAATAGATTCATCTTATCCATAAAAACTAAAAGAAAATTTTAATATATATTGAACTTTGAGGATTTTTTGTATTGTCTATATTACTTGAATGCTTACATTATTATAAGGATTTGTAGTAGTTCTATCATTCTCTCAAACTCATTTATTATACGTCTAAGTTCACATATTTTCCTCCCTCTGTAACCCCTGACAACTACCGAGCTATTTGTCATGATGAAATTTTTATTTCTTCCTTTTTTAAAATGTTCAACCTTAGATGTGAAAGACAAAGAGAAAGTGTTTTGGTAAACTGAGCTGAGACAAAAATACAGGTACACTGGCAGGAAGTTTGATTAGAAGTGGAAAGGACACAGGCGTCATAGGCAACTCTACCTGCCATACCACAACGCCTGTTCCAAAACAGTGTTTCTTTCTCACTGTCTGGAGACAGGCATCTAAGATCGGAGTTCTGGCATGAGTATGTTCTGGGGATGCCTCTTGTTTCCACACACAGCAAAAGAAAAAGAGGGAGAAACTCAAGCATTATCATATTTCTTCTTATATGGACACTAAGAAGAATTAGGATGAGGTCTCCATTCTAATGACAGTTACCTACTAAACAACTTCTCTGCTACTGCATAGTAGATTTTATTGTCCCCACATTGACTTTGTGAGAACTTAAAAACAAATTCTATAGTATCTATTCATGTTTCTTCCCTGACTTGTGTTTCCTTGGTCCTCATCTTTATTCCTTTATTCCTTTTCTCTTTATTTTTTTTCTCACTCTCAGTGCTGCCACTAGATATTTTTTTCCTTAAGATGCAGGTTTGACGATTATCTCAATTGCTCAAAACTCTTCAGAAAATTCTAGTTACATAACTAGTTTAATCTAGATGCCTAGAGTAGCATAGTGGCTAATTTTCCTGCAGAGCTGCCTTGCCTGCTTCTTTCAAATTTCCTATTGCAGTTTTACCAAAAAAAAAAAAAAAATCTTACATCTGCTGAACGATTCATGTACATTTGTGAATATACTATGATAATAATCATTTGTTTTCCTGTGAGAGACAGGAGCATGATGCAGAGGTATTCTTATTCCAAGATTACGGGGGAAATGGTAGGAGGTGGAAGAATGAGGAGGAAGGGGAGAGAGGGAGGAATGGACAATAATAACTCAGCAACAACAATAATACTAATAATGTTAAGAAAGAACAATTACAAACACAATTGTGTAAAGAAATTGTAGCAGCTACCAGAATTTGCAGGAGATAACCAGCTCTCTTGAGGACCCAGTGCAATGGCTCCATTTTCACTTTGCATATGTCAGCCAGTCATGTCCCAGCTAATTCGCTTCCCCTCCAGCTCTTTGCTTGGTGGTCTGGGAGGAGCAGAGGATGGCTCAAAGCTTTGAGACCCTGCACCCCTATGGATGACCTGGAAGAAGCTCCTGGCTCATGGCTTCAGATCTGCTCAGCTCCGGTTATTGTGACCACTTGCAGAGTAAACCAGTGCGCAGATATTATTCTCTGTCTCTCTTTTTTCTGTAAATCTGAGCTGCCTTTCCAATAAAAAGTAAATTAATCTTAAACAACAACAACAAAGAGCTCTCACTGGATCCTCCAAAAGGTTGGCTCCTTCCAGTGTCTTAATGTTGATCCAGTTGCAGAAAATGTGTGACAAGAAGTTTCAGTTATAAAAACCACCAACTTTGATAATTTGTTTTAGCAGTCATGAGAAACAAATATAAAAAAAAACTTAAGAATCTCATGGAAAATGCAATTAAAAGTAGGATGCAAAAAAATTTGCAAACTATGTACAACTTTATCACAATACCCATTTTCTGGGTGCATTTGAAGACCCCCTTGGATTTATGAATTTCCAAATTTTTCTATCAAGATAAACTTATGTTTATTTCATTTTGCATTAATTTGAGATATCACAGGACCCATATCTTTCTTATGGTCCACATATATTTAGCAGTAGTTTTTTCCTCATTAATATCGTTTTCCCATCCATTACTATTATACTTTCTGTGTCTGTCTTGAAACCATCTTCCCTAGTTTTGTAATAACTATTCTTAATCATTGCATGTAGAACAAATATGAGTATAATAAACTATAAGTAAGTGTAACATAAACAAATTACACAGAAACCATTTAATGGCTATTTCAAAGATATACAAATATTGATTCAAATGTACGTTTGGACACTACAAATTACATTGTTCTTTGCAATGAGGCTAGAGAATCACAAATTACAACTCCCTGAGACATATATATTCATATATCTTTATAAGTTTTTATCCAACCAACTGATATACTTGTCTCTTATCTTCAGACCTAGATGTAAATAAAACGGTGATGTCATATATGATAAAGCACCATGGATTCCATTCTCAATATGGTCGTGAGCAACTTGTACCCCAACATTACGAAGTCTTGAAACATACATTAGCCCATCATCTCTTAAGAGATCATGTTGACAGGTAAGAAGATAGGTTCGTGGCAACTTCTGTAACTGGGAATCTCTGGCCAGCAGAGGTGATGCTCTGCTATCCATAAGCGCTGGCAGTGAAAAGCCAGCCTGTCCAAGAATAGGTTCTCTGTAAATGTGGTCCTTTCTATACTGCTCAGGAAGAAGAGTGCTCCAGTTAACGAACTTGAACAGATGCTTGGATTCCAGTGGCATGTACTGATTTCTTCTCATTGCCTGGGGAAGTGCTTCATCTTTGGTAAAATACAAACTGACGAGCTTGATGGCCATTTCCCGTGTCAGAATTACACCATGCTCATTTTCTCGGTGAGAAGGCAAATAGGAATCAATTGCTTGTAAGGCGGGGTAAAGTAAAGCTTGTATCTTGATTTTATGTTTTATTCCAGGATCATTCTGCACCTAAAATGTATATAATACACATATAATATACCTTGTGTGCATATGTATACACAATATTCATATCACATACAATATGCCATATATATGCCATATATTCTATCATATTCTATCATATATATGTATACATATATATATATATATATATCAAGGCAAAGGCTTCTACCATATGAGGAGAACAATTTTAATTGCTTATGTAGCAAACCTGAAGTAAATCAATCTACATAAATTGGTGTCATAAGCTATAATTATTTCCACAGTATTTATAATATCTCTCACTGACAAGAAAAACTTTTAAGCAATTTTCAACACTAGAGTTTTTTGGAAGAGTTTGTGAGAAAGAAAGAAAATAAGAATGACGAGAAGGAAAGGCAGATACAGAGAGACAAAAGTGAAAAGAAGAGAGAGAAATACAGTGGAAATAATTCGATACTTGATATATTCCTGAGGAAATTGATGCTATGGTAATACTGGTTTTGTAAATTTTTTTTTTCACGGAAACTAATCTTAATATGTACAATTATTAATTAGTATTATTTTTATGTTTAGTCCTAAAAATAGCAACATTTAATCTTTTGTCAATCTAAAACTAGTTTAGTTCTTGAAATATTTTAAAAATTATAACAATTTTAAAATAGCATTTTGATCATTAGGCAAATCCTCCAACAGTATATTATAAATTCAAGAAACATGAAAATGCAAAATATGGACAAAATGGGGGGAAATGCCCATAATCAAGTGACTTATATTATAGGAGAATGGTGAAGCATCTGGAAAACAAAAATAGAAAACTGAAAAAAAAAAAGATTTTTGGCTGCAGAAGGGACACCTGTGTGCTCTTTGAGAAGGAGCCCCTGGACATTCGTAGAGATGCAGGGCACGTGAAAGCCATACCTCTGGCCTTGTAGACTGCAAGAGAAAACTTTGAATTAATCTTACAGGAGCAAAAGATGCAAATGCAGCAATGTCATCCAGGCAAAGGAAAATATGTACTGCTGCTTCAAGTGGAAAGTTCGGGAAAGAAGAATTTGTCTCTAACCCGCACCAGCACCTTAACTGCTAGATTCAACATGCACTCCATCTTAGACTTTTCAACATGACCCCAAATTTTTTTATGGACTTGTCCCAAGTACTGCTGCAAATACATAGACAAGAGGACAATCTGCTGCTTAGCATCGATAAATGAATCTCTTGGTGACAATAATATCAATGGTCAATATTCCACATTACAATACCAGTTTTCAGTACCCAAATCTAGCTCCCAACTAACTTCTTGTTAAATATAAAGTGTTGGAGGGAGTTGTCACAAAATTATAAAAGTGAAAATCCCAGAGTATTATGTGGTACAGCAGCATTTTCACTTACATCAGTTTCTTTATCTTGACTTGAGAGGGATGCTGAGAGACATTTGTTCAAAGTCAAAGAAGAGATGTTCGATGACTTTGTTTCCTACATGGAGAGGCCTGGACTGTTTCCAAGCAAATTCAAGGCAATATCTGTTGTATGTATCTATGCTTTCTATAAAACCCACTCTATGGCAACCAAGGTGTTGGTAAATCCTCTTATGTTGTCCAGATGTGACCACCACAAGAGCATAAGACCTACTTGACATTAATTGGTACCCCATGCCAAAAACTATACTGATGTTCCTATACTAAGCCTATTAACCTCCACCACCTTTTTCAATACAGGCACAGGTTGACAAGGAATGGGCTACTACCATCCAGCCCCCTGGATTGGATGTACTATTCAGATTCTTTCATACCCACATCAAGCAATTCATTAACTGTGGATAATATTTATTCACCAAACTAGTATAACAAGTATCTGTTATTTTCAATTCAGAACACCCAGCTTTACAACAGTTGTGACTGCTAACCCACTAATTATCTTATCCATCAATTGTGCTGACACCACCCCACACCCAATTCCATCAATAAACACTTTATTAGTGAGTATCTGGATAAATGATGAGCTGCCAAGAAAAAATCTGAGTGGGGGAATGCCTTTGGCTTCTTCCTGGGACACATATCCCAATCTTAACACAGAAAGCTCAAGAGCACAGGGGGCTAAACCCCTCTAGATGATCAGCCAGTTCTCTTTCTCATGGATTCCTCCTGTTCTTTCCTATTCCTTACTTGCTCCTCAAAACTCCCACCTCCTATTCTAGGGGGCTGCGTGTGGGACAGTGACACAGAATATAGCAATCAAATGTTACTTTCAAATCAAAGTGAAACGCCCAATCAATAAGGAAAGGATAGCCTAAAAGTTCAGTGATCACCGATTTGTAACATTGTGAATTTGAGCAAGTTATTTAACAACATAAAAATATCTCAATTTTGTGATCTCTAAAATTGATAAAAAGTGAATAAATGCAGCATATGGTTTTGTGTTGATTAGGGAGCACTTAAAGTACAATTATGGGCATATACTAAAAACTAATAAACACTAACTACTTATTGCCAAAAAGACATGTACAAGAAGCCCAATGCTTTCAGAAACGTCTATAAATAGTATGGCAAGAACAACGTAGGAAATATTCCTTCAGTTTCAGTTTTGTTTGTAAATGCAGGTATGGTATCTGCACAACCAGCTTAACAACGCATCTGTGTATAAGACTGTGCCATGGAATTCATGCACCTGCATTTGCAGACTTGTCTTCTTTTCTTGGATCGGAAACAAGCTGTGACTATGTAAACAGGTTAGGTATGCGATGGAACCATCCATACCCTTCTTGGTCAAATAGATAAACAAAATACACATGCTTCCAAAAATGAGTAATCATTTACTACTGGTTCCATGGGAGTGCAAGAACAATGTCTATATGTGTTATCTAAATGTGCTCCACAGACACACATTAGGAATAATTTGTGGGATTGTGTTATTATATAAACATCCATGTTGAAGAAAGTTGCTATTCAGAAAAAAAAAAATCAGAAATGGAGCTAACAGGCTCAGATTCTTTGATGAGTGAAGGAGGAGAAAACGAGGAATGTATTTGTGGTGTCAGGATTTGAAAACTTCAGAGATACACACACCTCAGACTTCAAGCACTTACAGCCTAGTTGAAGACAGGCATATACAACAAATAATAGGTTAAACGCTATGCAGTAGTAATGAATAAACTGTTAGGAGCAATATCAAGGTGACAGAGGATGATTTGTTTTAAGAAGATGCTGGATAACAGAGAGCACCCCTGGAGAAATCAACGTGGGTGTCTCAGGACAGTGTTCTCGGGAAGTTGCAGATTTTAGAGTCTTCAACAAACAAATCAGAACTAAAGGTAAGAAATAGCAGAGAATGGCATACATGACAAACTACTCAATGTGGCTTTACAGAGTCCACAAAAATATGGACCAGCAGTGAAATTTTTTCTGACACCAAAGCTTTCAAGCAATAAGCCTGTTACAAATTGTTAACCAATCATAGAACTATGAAACATTAAATTATGAAATGAAGCTATATATTCATTACAAAGCAACTCAAACCTGGTGCAATGAAAAGAAAAAAAAGGCTTTGATCCAAGTGTGATCTTGGTAAAAGTTCTGCAAGTTGAGAGGCATGATCATACAAATAGGAAAAGATGAAGGAAATGACTTTCCTTTTACCAAGTTCTGATATATACCAAGAGCTATTTTTCTTTTTGGTACCTTTGTTAATACTTAGGACAAATCTATTGGAAAGCTATAAGGTATGTCTTCCCATCTTCATAGTTATTTATGGGAACCTAATTATTATAATTAAGCTTCCTTCATTAACAAAGACAACCAAATGTATCAGATGTGCCAGGAGAAATTGTAGGTGTGTCAAGATGATGCCTGATTATTATTGAGTAATGGATAGTTTTCAAAATCTATACTAACAAAACCAGTTTCAGACAAGATTTAAGATCAGGCTGCTCTGCAAATTCAGATAGCATTTAGGAAAATAATCTTAAAGCAGGGAACTCTTCAATTTAACCTTTCTACCACACCACCTTACTCCAATACGATCTTTCAAATCAAAAGACATGAAAAATTAAATCAGGTTGAAAGAGACCTCAGAAATTAGTCAACAGTTTTCAAATTTGTTTTTTGGCAATGATTTTTTTTTTAATTCCTTGGAAATGTTACGTAGAACTCTAAAGCAAAAGAGCATTAAGGTGGAACTGGTTGGGTTAAGGTGTGCTATCCTGATGCCTGGATCCCACTTGTCAATGTAATGTGAGTTCCACTTTCACTTGTAATCCATACTCTTGCTAATGTGTGAACTGGAAGGTTGCGGGTCATGGATCATATTTTTGGGTCCTTATCATCTCTGTGGGCCATTAATATTGAGTTCTCAGCTGCTGCTCCTGTTGCAGCTGCAGAAATTTGTAGAGCAAACCAACAGAGAGAAATTTTCTGGCAATTTGTAACTATCTTTCAGATAAAATAAAGACAATTGGAAAAGCAAATGTTACTGGGGAAACTGTATATACATTTACAAATATCAATTTTAAAAGTTTAAAAACATAAATGTTAAGACTTCACATTTGGGACCCAGCACAATAGCATAAGGGTTAAAGTCCTTGCCTTAACTGAGCTGGGATCCCAAATGGTCGCTGGTTCTAATCCTAGCAGCTTCCCATCTAGCTCCCTGCTTGTGGCCTGGGAAAGCAGTCGAGGACAGCCCAAAGCCTTGGGACCCTGCACCAGCATGGGAGACCCGGAAGAGCTCCTGGCTTTGGACTGGCTCATCTCCAGCCGTTGTGGTCACTTGGGGAGTGAACCATCAGACAGCAGATCTTCCTCTCTGTCTCTCCTCCTCTCTGTATATCTGCTTTTCCAATAAAAATAAAATAAATATTTAAAAAACAAAACAAAAAACCTTCATATTTGCAGCTGCAAAATACTGAAAGAAAACATAGGGACGTTTTCCTGACATTGGTTTAGGCAATATTTTTGTTTTCTTATGTAACTCCAAGAAAACAGGCAACAAAACAGAAAAATACAAGATGTCACCAAAATAAGTAGTTCTATGTAATAAAAGAGAAAATCAATAGAGTCATCAGCCTTAAGAAAAGGAAAAATATTTACCAATCATCCATCTGATAAGGGATTGATATTCAAAATATATAAAGAATTTCACTCAATGGTGGGAAGTGAGATAATACGACTAAACAGTATTTTTCAAAAGAAGAATGTTCAACATGAATGTGAGAAAATGTTCAATGTCAGTGACCATTAGATAAATGCTAGTTAAAAAATCATAGTGAGAAATCATGTATGTCCTTTAGAGTGTTTTTTTTTTATTTTATTTTAGCAGAAACACCTCAGAGACCAAGTGTTGTCAATGACATAAAGAGAAGTGACACTTTATATGTCACTGGTGGGAATGCTCATTAGTGCAGCAATAATGGAAATCCTAAGCAGGCTCCTGAAGAAATAAATATATAAGTAACGTAAGACCCATAGACTTCATTTCTGGGAATATGTCCATTTCTGTGTGTATCATCCAAAGATAATAAAATGAGTAATATCAAGAGATATTTGCACTTGCATATTCATTATAACACAACAGCCACGATTCTTAAAAAAATGTAAATGTCTCTTCATGAAAGAAAATCTGATATGCCTAAGGATATGCATGTGTAGTCCTGCAGAGAAAGAAGTATTATTCAGCCTTCAGAAATAGCTGTTGTCATTTGTGACAAAATGGATAAAGTTGGAGGATTTACATCATAAAGACTATAATGAAAGAACACATGCATAGACAGATGAATTTGGCATACTAACACTGACACAGAGAATATAAAAAAGTATCAAACATAGGGTGGGAGAAGGGAAATGGAGATATGCTGGCCAGAATGCACAAAGTTCAATTTATGCAGGATGAGTAAGATTTGAAAATCTAATATACACCAGGGAGACTGCAGTGAATAGCATTGTGTTGTCTACTTGAAATTTATGATTAAAGAGTAGAACTTAAGTGTTTCCGCCAAATAAGACAAAAATGGTGGTGATGCGAGGTGACAGATATGTTAGTAAGCTTATCTGCAGTTACCAATTCATGTTCACGTATATCAAAACTCCGCATTGTACAACTTCAATAGACACAGTTTCACTTGTCAGTTATATCACAATAAAATTGTCAAGAAAAAAAATACAGTAGTTGAGATGCTTCTAAAGTAGTGACGGTGCAATGTTACTTCTGTGAAAATCTGATGAAGAGCTAAAATGATGACATCAATTTGCGATCCATCAAAACCAAAATCCGTAAAATGTTGTGGCAAATTAAAACTAGCAATATATCAAAAATGCAATCCACTATGAGTAGGTGGGGCTTTTGACTAAAATGGAAAAATAATTTAGCATTTGAAAGGAAATGAACATTAAAAAATAGAAAACTTGCTTGAATATCTCGTTAACAGCATTAGACAAATTTAATGCCAATTTATGGAGAGACTATTACAAAATTAGGGATAGAAATGATAAAACCTGACATAAATATGAAAATCTGGTAATTTGTAATACTCATGAAATAATAAAATAATTTTCCACCCTGATCAAAGTAAATCCATCCTATTCAGTACTGTACTGGATGCTCTAGTCAGTGATTTAATAAATTAAGAATATATTGAAAGTGCCAAAATTAAAATTGCCTTAAGTTACTGAATTGGAAGACAATATAGACATTACTCAGATTTCTTAAAATAAGACTACCATAAAGCCAAGCCATCCCACTCCTGGGCATTTATCCAAACGAAATGAAATCAGCATATAGAAGAATTATCTGTACTCCCAAGTTTGTTACAGCTCGATTCATAAATTTTAAATGTGAAATCAACCCTGATGTCCATGAAATGATAATCAGATGAAGAATATGTGTGTACACACACACACACACACACACACATAACACACACTATGGAATTTTACTCATCCAAAAACACAACAATCTTATGAAACTGTGGACTCCTTACTGCCGGAGGCCAGCTCCGGCTGACTTGAGAGCTTGCAAAGGATGCATGGATCAGAGAGACGATATGAAGAAGAGATAAGATGTGGACCACTATGGCATGATGCTCATAATGGACAACTCAGAAAAGTTGCCTTGTTTATTTATACACAAATCATCACAAGCTTTTGCACAATATTCAATTGTTTCAATTTTACTTCATGGTTAAGAGAATACAAAAACAATCTTAAAAAAATATTATTTTACTTCAAAGAAAACATTTTCAACAAGCCATTACTCGTTGAAACCTGCAGTCACCTGGCTGAAGCCAGGAACTCCACAGTTCACAGCGCATGTGGTTACATAGTGACAAGTGGTTTACTCATACTCAAAATCAATTTTTACTAAAAACAAACTAATTAGTATTACTTAAAATATTAAGAGTACAGAATTAAAAGATCATAAATGAAAGGATTTTATAAAAGTATATAACATGGATTCTTTGCTAAATCTTATAATCAAATCAAACATAAATTACTATCCCCTTCACTTAGTGCTGATTCAATTATTTTTTGTTCTTTTGTTAAAAGGACCAAGGCAACTCAGCCAATCTACAAACACAAGGCCTTTGCAAGAAACTTCCTTTTATCTTTATAAACTGTTTTCTTTCCCTAAATATGAGTGCCAATGTAAGATTGAGATTTTAAGCCATTTTGAGGGGGTTCATATCTATTTCCTTATAAAAGATGCCCCATATACTTTTGCTTTCTGTGGTAAGAAACTAAAATGTGTCATATCATGTGTTGTAACAGTTCAAGGTGCATGGTAAACAAACTCTTTGTACCTCCATGATTGCCATCTGTTCCAAGATATTATCAAGCCATTTCTTAAGGAAAACATTACTTATATTAGGGCAAACTTTAGAACAAAGGTGGGCACATAAGAGGATGTTTGGAGACATTGTGGGCTCAGTTGTGCTATTGTATACTTATAGCTTATGTCACTAAAGACGTTTTCATCATAGCATGATTGAGCAATTTGAGGTGTCATATCAGTTACAGGAATCACTTCACATGAGCAGAAAACCAATACCCTCAGGAGAATCCTATGAAATATCAAGAGAGATGACTGAGTGTCCATACAATGGGGTGAGGCAGCAATGAGGTGACCAGAGACATTCTACCGGGCCCTGCCTCATAGCCCAGAAATTCCTCGTAGCCCTGCTAACCAAGGAGCAGAGCTCATCACACACCCATGCCATGCGACCCAACTGCATGGCTCCCCACATCTTAGTTTTTACTTGATGAATAATATAGTTAGTGGTGAATTTAGCCTGTAGTTATGCGTTTGTAAAAAAAAAAGAAGAGAATGAGAGAAAGAAAAAAGGAAGGAAGGAAGGGAGGAAGGAAGGCAGAATGGAAGAAAGAAAGAAAGAAAGAAAGAAAGAAAGAAAGAAAGAAAGAGAAAGAAAGAAAGAAAGAAAGAAAGAAAGAAAGAAAGAAAGAAAGAAAGAAAGAAAGAAAGAAAGAAAGATGGATCGATCAAACGAAAGATTGAAGAAGAGACAAGTGAGGGAGGTGTGGTTCTTCTTAGAATTGTACCAGTGAAACACATAAAATCCATTGTCTTTATATTAGTAAAAAATAAAAATAAGTACAGTTGAAGTCAGCATAGTATTGACATAGGAATAAACATATAAATCAATGGTAAAGGAGAATACAGAAATAGATTTTATTTAAATTCCTTTGCAAGGTAGTGGGAAAGGATGTTCTTTCACAATTGGGTATGCAATATTAAATATTTGTGTGGAATCAAAAAATAAGCTTCAGCTCTACTTCCCACCCAAAAGAGAAAAACAATTTACCTGTTGGGCCACTGCTGCCACCAACGCGCCTCCAGAACTATCTCCTGAAACACAGATTCGAGTAGAATCCACTCTGTATTTTGTAAGAATTTTAGGCTGAAGGAAAAACTTGACTACAGTTAGGACGTCTTCAAACTGAGCGGGAAAGTGGTGCTGAGGAGCTAGTCGATAGCTTCAACAAAGAACAAGAAGACGTTAGCATTGCATCTGTTCAGACAGTGCTCAACCACCAAATGAACGCAATCAAGCAGCTCCTACTGCATCTTCTAAAAACAATGCATTTTCTACGATTATCACTTGGTTATCATCTTAAACAGAGAATGAAGTGTTTTTCAATCTTGTACCTGAAGACCAGGAAAGATGCTGTATAAGAGAATTCATGGGAGTGGTATGATGTTCCCTAACACTGTAAGCAAATGATTTTGGTCATGTGCATTTTGGATCACAAGCGTTCTACAACATACATCAAGTTCTCAGCGTATAAGGTGATCTGAACATTTTAGAAAATCATTGCTGAAAAGAAAAAAACACTATGAGTCTTCTTTGGAGGCGGTAGATCAGAGAGCATTTTTAGCTGAATGTACTATCTTCAAGGTCATTTAGAGAAAGAGTCTATAGACTAGCAAGACATTCATTATGAATTATGTCTAGCAGTGAGTTCAAAATAAACATCTGAAAAGCAAATAACATTTAAATATTCTGAGGAGCTTATCTGTTTCCAGTAAATGCATTTGTAAGGCAAATTATACCATTATCTTAATAGCTATATAAGGATAGTTGCCCAATTTACTTGTGTAAGTAAAACCCAAGTTCCACTGTAGTGGCCTGTTCTCAGAACTAAAGCATTCATTTTTCTCAGACCTCTAAAATGTAAATATTTCTGCTTGTACTAAGTATTGATGGTAGGATTCCTAGAATTTTATAATAAACTGTGTCTAGGAAGTTCTTTTAAAAGCCTGGTAATACAGGTTTAATGTATTCCTGAAATATGTTAGAGTCCACTACCTAAAATGTGATGTATTTGGGCATTTTAGGATAAAAATGGAAAAAATTGCAAGAACTCAGTGGACAAGATTAGCTGGAAAAAAATATACATTACTGTTTGGAAATGGATTTAAAGTAATGTGTAGATTACCCAAAAAGTTACAAAAGTTAAAATAAGAATATCCTAACACTATAAATTGGTGATATTGAACAAGCAAAAAGTTTTAGGTACCTCTATGATATTGTGACTATGAGAGCAAATACTCTGTTTAAATAATTAATTCTTGAGGTGGTTTTTTTTTTCAATTTCTAAACATACATAACTTTAAAATTAGATAAGCAAACAATAAAACATATGCACCAAACTTAAAATCATATAAATAAATAATACAACTTATAAACTAAATCTGGTGTTATTGTAAAAGAAATGTGTAACATGTTGTTGTTATTACGTACTAGGGAACATGCAGATGTAACAAAATTATTCCAGAGAATGATAAATCATCACATATCTCAGAGATCAAAGATACACTAATTTGGATTAAAAAAAAAAAAACACAGGTTTAAGTTTTTTTTTTTTCTGGCCAAATGCCAAGTATAAACTCACTTTCCCTAAGCAAGGCTGGAAATTCTTGGTTAGTCCCAATTTTTATCATCTACATCATTTCATATAAGAATTATTGTGAAATTAAGCATTTGCTTACTGGTCAAAATATAACATAGCATATCAAATGTATAATTGTAGATTTACTTTGTTGTGTCCAGTTGTGACAAAACTAGAGACTTATAACTCTCTAATTTCACATCTTTAGAGCAATAGCTAATTCAAAGAAACTCCTCTTGGTGTGCAACGAAGGCATTCTCACAAACACGGGAGTATATACTCATTGTCACGGTGTTAATGTGTAAAATACATGAATTTTTTAAAAAAATCACATTTGAAGCATATATGATTGAACTCAACATCAAAACCATGAAGGCGAAAGTCATAACTGCCAAAGAAAGGCGTTCTCTTACTCCACCCCTACCACGACAGCATCTAATTTCTTCGCCGTCCATCTATTCAGAAAGTCAAAAGCCGTCTGCCCTGAAATGAAAAAATAAAAGTGAAAGTAACCTGATGTTAAAAAAAAAAAAAAGTTGGAGGGAGGGGGCAAGAGAACCACTTGTAATCATAAACGGAGAAGCACAGCGTAGGAATCTCTATTTCCCACTATCGTGGTAGGAGATCGGTACAGGGGTGGGGAGGGGAGCTGCACAGGCAGGGGGATCTGAATCAACATCACATGCTTTGTGTGGTCCAATCTTGTTACTCTCTCTAGAGGAGAAAGACGACATTACCCATTAGTATTTGGGGGAGAAAAGCTATTATTCATCCATCTGAATGTTTCGTTGTTTTCAGCTTTCTCTCCACATCAACTCTTCCTGATGCATCTGTGGTCTTTTGCGTGCGGCATTGCTCTGCCACTTTAGGCAGCAAGTGCAATGGGGAGGGGGTCTGCAATTGGTCACTAGGTAGATTCTCACGACTAATTACCCTCTGTGACTGAAGTTGGCTTACCAACCATACCTACATATGCTTCTTCAAAGCACTCATTGGAGTTAATGAAAACATTTTTACTTTCTTTAATCTGAATTTAGTTCAATCTGGAATTGAGAAACAGAAAACTAAGAGGTAATTTTTTACTTTTTGTAGTTTGTGCCCATGAGTTTTGGCATGCTTGGTACACCAGCATTTACTCCACCCCCAATACTCATCACACACACATACCACATTCCCCTAAATATCCATCAATCTGATTTGCCAGTATCCAAGCCAAAACCTTAGCAAATTAAGTGCTATATGATACCACTCTCACTTTTATACAAGAGCTTAGAAACTCAGGGAATTCTAAAAGTGTGATTATTCTCCACTTTCTAAGGCTTCTCTTGCATACTACCACAGTTTCAAATTGAAAACTTCAAATTTAAAATTTGGTCTATAACAACCCGGAAAAGAAAAAAGTAAGCCATTAATCTTTTAGAAACATTATTTCTATTAAATGTTGGGCTGATAAATTGAAAGAAAAGCAATACAGAGATAAAGAGTAAAATGTAAGCTGTAAGAACACCACCCTTCACATAGACTTTTAAGAAAATTTTATTCATTTCAAAGGCAAAGAGAGAGAGAGATTTTTCCATCCACTGGTTCACTCTCCCAAACCAGACCAAGAGCTCCATCTTGGTCTCCAGTGCAGGTGACAGGGTCTCAAGCACTTCAGCCATCCCTTGCAACTTCTCAGGTACACTAGAGAGAATCGAGCTGGAAGCGTGGAGTAGATGTTACCTAACACTGTTAGGTAAAGTAAGTGTCCCTTGTGATTGTTCAGGTAACTGCGCCATAATGCCAATCGCCTGATCATCATTTCTAATACAACGATAAAATTTGAAATCTTTGTCTTGATTTTTATCTCTCTACAATTTTTGATTTGCTTACAGCTAAAATCAAATCAAGAAACTTTATTTGTTATTATCTCAAAATGTTCCACATCACACAGTATTTAAGGATATAATCTCTATTGTCATATTTTCTCCTACTCCATTCCCATTTATTGATTGTTTGGCACTTGTAAGAGCAAATTAGAAGCAAGAAAATATTAAGGAAAAGGTTGACAAATAATAACCAAGAAACTATATTAAAACAAAACAAAACTATCAAACCCCAAATTTCCTAGATTTCTTAATTTTCTAAGCAACTTTTTTTCCCAAAAGAGTACTCATAGAAAGTTTTTTTATAAAGATTGGGTTACTCTGAAGTATTTATCTTTGCTATGCAATTATAGTTTTGCTGCTTCATAATACTTCCACATCTTTCTACTTGAAGTACATTTTTAATTTTAGTAAGTCTGATAGCTTTATATTTTGAAAATTCAAAACTACCACCAACAATAACACAAAAAGGTCAAGTTTGGGCAAGCATACTTCGGAGAAGGCAGAATAAGAAAACTTAAATTAAAAAAAAAAAGAAGAAAGGAAGAGAGATTGGAATCTGCAAACCATAGAAATATAGACAGAGATTTATGTACACCAAAAAAGAAAACAAGAAAAAATAAATCAAACAAGACTTTATCTGAAAGTAACAGAGCAGTAACTTCCTAGAGTCAACATAGCAAAGATATTCTAAATGAAGTATAGCTAAAGGGAGAAATAGCAATGCATGAAGTATTCAGGGAACTACAAGTAACAATATCATTGCAATAAAATGAAATGAAATACTGGCAGATAGCATGGAAGTTAATAAAAGCAGTGTTTAACATTTCCATGCTAAAGGGTTGAGATCTAGTTAATGAAGTTATAGGAGTCTGACAAATTCGAAGAAGCAAATCTTATGACTAGTTTGCATGTTGGAAAGATCTAGGCCATTAAATGTAGAAGACAGAATAGAGTTGAACCAGAAGCAGATGAGAACACAGAAGGAGGTGTGTATGAAAGATGAAGCACTAAATTGTGTTGATGAGAGCAAGATGTTCAGAATAAATGGGATATAATATAATAATTGAGTATGGGAGCTAAGAAGCAATAATAACAATATAAAAACTAGTAAACAATTCTTCACTTACTAAGAGCATTCAAATTATTTCGATTTTGGTTTTGATGGATGAGGGTTTTCATTTCCTAAAGTTATTTGGACATAAAGTAAACTGCGTTTGGTCATATTGAGTTTGTAGTTTGTAGTCTGTCATCCATCCAGACATAAATATTTAATTGATTGTTTATGTTGGATCCCAAACTCAGGGACAATATTACACAAGACAGAATAAGATGCCAGAAGCACAAGACAATAGAGAATAAGGGCTTTGAAAATCAAAACAAGGGGAGGAAGGCAATTTGGGGTCAGAAGGAGAGCTAAGATATTCATTAAGAGTAAATATGGAAAACATGTCATTATATGAGTTTGTTTTCTTTTTAAGTGGAGATCCAGGAAAAAAACAGGGAGGACTACTGAGCCAAAAACAGCAAACATTGGGTAGAATACTGTGGTATTCCGCCCAACAGCCTCAGCAGCTAGAAACTAACTTGACATACAAATTCTCTGGCTCCAACTTGGATTTCCAGAATCAGCAATTCTGTAAGTGGGACTCAGTGATCTGAAGATACAATGCAGTATGCATCTCTACTTCCAAACCAAAGATGGACTCCAGTGAAACTGTTAAATATATCTTGACAGTTGGATGCTGGAATCTCTGCCATGTCCCTACCTGCAGTGTCAGGATACAATTAAATAGCAGAATGACGGACTTAGGAATATTTGTGAATGACTATCCTACTGTAACATTGGGGAGGATGTTACGCTATCTAGACTCTATGGAACTGAATCATAAAACAATTAAAATAAATAAATAAATACATAAAAAGACCCTGCTAGCTGATTCTAAGTCTAAAATTTCTGAGTCATTATCTTAAGGCTTTCCATCTTACTGACTGTACAAGATGATTTATCTCCACTTGCTTGCCAGTTATGTGCTGTCAGTTTCTCAGGTTCTTCCAGAATCTTCAAGAAGGAAAACAGTGCTAGTAAGTGTTGTCTGAAGGCTATACAGAACCCATGCTTCTCTACAGTATGATATTCACATCTCGTCATGAACCCGAGAGTCTTTGTCTCTCCTGCATCATATTACATACTCCCAGAATTGCTTTTTCCAACTATGTGTCTTTGTGTCATTCTATCACATCTATGAGAATTATCATAAAATTAAGAGCTTGCTGTAAAAGTGAGTTTTGAGATTCTCACAATATAATATTCGAAAGTGTCTCATAACAAAGGGCTGAGTTTCTCCATCATCATTAGATTAAAAACCATCTAGTTTTATATTTTGCTTTTCTTTTTTTGCTTTAAGGAATCTAGAAAGAATAAAGCATATATAATAGAAGCCTTGTTTCATCCCAGTCTCCTATCTTTCCCTCGTAACCATTCTTGTATTAGTCACTACCTGCCATATCCCATTGACTTTAAGTAGCTAATAAAATAGATTTCCAAAAGTAACCTAGTTCTATTTTCAGAACTGCACTAACCAAACCAAGCAAGGAACAGAAATTCACTCCATAACTGATATATGTTTCCTTCCATGCTAATTGTCAGAACTGGGTAGGAGAAAACCAAAAGGCCGAAATTCCAGCCTAACCACTTTAGCATTTTTGATTAAGTGTAGCTTTCTAAATTACATATGAATTTATAAGATTATACTGTTTTGAACCAAATGAGATACAGGAGAAAAAAGAGTGAATATTCAAATTCATTTTTATTTGTTCAAGTTTCTTTAAGTCCATTTCTTTGCTTAATTTTATATTTTACTTAAACAGAACAGTGGCCTGGATGTTAGTAGCACTCTATAATGCAGTTTTCTAAGATTTTTATAGGGATAAATGCATTTAAGATTTTGTTATGATTCTGCTGTATATGTCTTCTAAAATTATCATCAGAAGAAAGTAGACACTATACACTTTATGGGAGGGGTTTATGGTGTAGGATTCTATGTTATTTTTTCCTTTTAGAGTAGACAAGCCACTGAATTCTAAATAACCACCATTAATTTTATTGCTATTAGGAAATGCAAGTTTTATTTTATAAAAACTAGTGACATATGTTTCTGATTTTCTCTTTCAAAATGTCTGAATCATTTCAGTGTCTCTATTTCTGGATACTTTATTTCTTAATTATTATTCCATTTTGATAATCTTTACATAGTTGATTATGATCCTAAGGAAAAATTACTAGCAACTGATTTATTCATGTACTGTTTTATTATATGAATATGTTTATTCAAAATGAAAGCAGAAATTAAAATGCTGACAAACACAGAATTGTAGTAAAAAATTTTCATGATATCTTCAAACATATTTATGTTCATGTTTAGTTTTCATCAGGTATCTCATATTTATGGCCATACTTATGGGTCCATAACTGCATGTATGTATAAGCATGTATATTTACCAAAAACAGTTTCTATATTAGCAGTGGTGTTAGGCAAATCCTTTGCCTATGGCGCCTGCATCCATTATGGGTATCAGTTTGTGTCCCAGCTGCTCCACTTCCAATCAAGCTACATGCTAATGACCTGGGAAAGCAGTGGAGGACGGTCTAAGCCTTTGGATCCTGTCCCTAGGTGAGAGATCCAGAAGAAGCTACAGACCCAGGATTGGGAGCAGCCCAGTTCTAGCCACAGAAGTCATTTGGGGAATGAATCAATGAATGCAAAAGTTCTGTCTCTCTCCCATATTTCTTTCAAATGAAAATAAAGTCTTGTAAAGAAATGTTTCTATATCAAAAGCATACAACTAATTATAATTTTTCATTATATGAGAAACTTACTGAAACTTCCGAAGCAGAAAGCCCCACCGTGGACATAGATGACAGCTCGTCTTGCAGTTTCTGACTTTCTCTTTGGAAGGTACAGACGGACTGGGATGTCAAGAAACTCAGTGTCCGTCACTGTGACATACTCATCTGACTGTGGCTGGGTATAATCCAGACGGAAGATCATGGAAATAAACTCCTCGTATTTCATAATACCTATGTTTTCAAAACATATGGCCTGCAAAAGCAAGCAAAATAAACGAAACTAAGCGTAGGGATCTGTAAATAACGTCATCAAGGGAAAGGAAAATTGTTTTCCTGAAAGAGTCAAAAGCTCTTAAGTTTACTAAGGTAATCTTTAAATACTCTGTTTTTTTTTTTCTAACATCTTTTTTGAAGTAAAAGTGCATAATTCTATTATAGATGAACCACGGTGAGCATAAATTTTAGAACTAGATGTATTTATAATGTTATCAGTATCAGCCCCACTGAGTTTTAAACATGCATCAACTGTCAAGGAACATAGCATAGCAGTTTCTCTGTGGAGCCTACATTTGCTTACTAACACATTCTTTCAGTAAGTCAAGGAGTATAAGCATTAGTGAAAGAGGCTGTTATGGAGAAAGTGTCCTAGAAGTGGTTAGAGTGAAAACTAAAAGGACTTGGTGAAGCTCCACCCCTTCCTGAGAAGCCTTTGATGTAGACCAGGCAGAGGTCAGCCACAGCTTCTTACAGTTCCAGGGAAGTACTGCCTACCGTGCAGCACGGTGAGAGAACATGTCTCACACCGGGAATTCTCTTCCCTGAATGGCTTCATTGCCTTCTTCTTGTAGCTTCTTGTTACTAACGCCAAAAAATCTTTTCAGCAATAAACTGCTTTTGCACAAAGAGTACAAGCTTTTAGATAAAACAGTCCAGAGTTGCTATTCGCTACCTTCATGTATTTTTAAATTAATAGAACAAATTACAGAGCAGTGGTCAGCGGGTGGAAGCAGATATTATACAGGTATAGATAGATAGAAAGAAATAGAAATCTGTATGCATTCTGACAATTCAATAATGTAAGCTTCTAACTACAGAGAAATTATTTTTGCATGAAATCATAAATCACTCTGCATATTCAAAATTTTTACAAATCCTAAGACTTAGCAATGTACACTGAAAGATGGATGACAGACGTATACAAATAGTGAAAGTTTTAAGTTAGTATTAAACAGTTGTAGGCATTAGTGACTTTTTTGTATAATATGTGATAATTATTTTCATTGTCACTGAAAAATCAAGTGAAAGTCAACCTTCAAGTAAGCCTTTCTTTACGATTTTCCCTTCAGTCATATTATCATTAAATGCCAATTAAATTTATGGAGACTTTGTACTTGGGCATAAACTCACGGAAAAAAAGAATTCTTTCTCTCTTTTATATATACACATTTAGAACATTCCATTTATTATGTTATTTAATTTAGTCACAAATAAGCAAACAATTCTTCTAAAGCAACAATAGTGTTAAGCTCATAAGCATTGAATATTAGTCAATCAAGTACTATAAACTCCAAATGAAAAAAAAAAACTTACCATAAATGTACATGTTTTAGCAATTGTATCCAAGGCCATTACCTTCCAGCTTTCTTCAATGTTGGCTGGTAGAGGTGTATAAAAATGAGAGATGAACATAACACAAAATATTCCCAAACAGAGAGCTTTGAACCCCATAATACTTCTTTTTTGTAGCCTTTGCTTTTTTACAGCACTAATATTAAAATTTTCCCATAAATTCTGAGAAAGAAGCAACAAAGCAAACGCAGGCCACAAGTCTTGTCAAATGACATAATCATCTTAAGTACTTGAAGATAATGTTCAATTCAACATTGCAACATCAGTATTAACCAGTTTTGCAAATATATAGACTCTATAAGAGATACTCAACAGGTCATGCAGGTATTATCACATGCAATGAAAACCTCTTAATTGTTACTTCATGTTGAAATACCAGCATCAGTACAAAATAATTTTATTCTTAAATCTGATGTCAAAGACTAAATGAAAACCATGGAGTAAAATTTTTGGATCAGCTGGTTGCAATACAGTATAAGAAGAGTTTTAAGATTTGTAAATTCTGATATAGGGAACAGGTTAATATATTCATAGATAAAATTCTTTGAACAATCCTTCCCTTCCTGCCTTTCTCTGTCTATTTTTTTCTTTTTCTGTTCTTTCTTGTTAGTACCTGTTTAATTTACATTATAGTCAAAAGCTTAATGATTCACTAAGGAATTCAGCAAGTAAAAATTTAAAAGACCATAATTTCCCCGGAAATAAAAGAAGAGCTGTAAATAATAATTAAATGAAAATATCCCCATTTCAGTCATATACAGTAAATTTTAAAACAATCATGGCTCACTAGAACTATAATACAATACGATTATTAAACATTTCCCCAATAAATATATAAACAAAGTTTGATGCTATCGGTCAACAGCCAGTGTTGTTAGCAAACCATGCTTGTGATGAACCTGGATCTGGAATAAGCAGCTCATCAATCATCACGGTAGAACTTTACAATAAATTAATGTACAAATATCTCCAAACAACACAATTTTTCAGATGATTACATACTGTTATTGTCTTTATATCCAACATGTATATTGGAACTTAACTGGCATAAAGGAAGACTGCACAACTGGAAACCTCTGCGTGTCCGTAAGGGTGTGTCTAGGAGAGACTGGCACTTTAGTTTGCACACTGAGTAAATCAGACTGCTCTCATAATGCGGATGAGCACCACTAGGCCACATGGGATCTCGCTGGGACAGAGTACATGGGAAGGAGGAATTTAAACTCTGAGTTAAGACATCATGATAACTGTAACAAATATTAACTTTGCCTGTATTAATCAGATTTTCATTGTGCAATGAAAGGCTCTTGTCAGCTTGACAAAAATTTTTTTAAAAAATCATTTAACTCACAGTTTTAGAAATTCAATCCAGGATGTCAGTCTCATTAGTTTGTTTTCTAGTAAGAGTGACAGAAAACGATATTCAGCAAGTATCTATTGGATGGAAGAAGTGATTCCATCTTAAACTAGGGATTGAAAAACTAAGTGGGGTCAAGCTCAATTCAGACAACCCTCTTGAAAAAACACCTTCCAAAGGCATTCCCTCAATAACTTAAGGCCCTCCAAATATGCCTCAACTAAGAGTTCTGATCCACCTCTCATTAGCACCATCCTAGAGAGCCTTTAACACATGGATGGGCCTTTGGGGACGTTCAAAACCCAAACTAGAGCACAGCCTCAGCACCTATTTTTTGCCCCACCCCTGGTTAGTCACTACTCATCCACATAAATTGATGGAGTCTCCACCCAGTTATTATTTTTGTGGTCTAGATATGTAAGTTCCCTTACCCTAAATCCCATGAGCGTGTTATGTCTGTTTCACATCTGGTGAAGCTTATCATGTAACTCCCAAGTTCCCATGCATATCCTCATTTGCCACTGGAAGTAAGAAATCCTACCTCATAACAGGAAATCCATCTAGGTAAAATCTCACACACCCAAGTCTCTAAGTCTCCCTGGTTTCTACCACTTTGTCCTTCGCCTCATTCACAAGTTGAGAGTTCATATTCTTGATAGTTCCCCCTGTACCAAGGATTCTGTGAGTTATGTTGTCGTTTTCCTTCCATTTCCAAGTAAGTAAACTTAATTTCTTGACTTTCCAGTATAACCATTCCACAGTATGTTCCAGCTGACATTGAGAAAACATACAATAGTTACAACAGACTTCCTCATTCTGCCATGGAGTTTTGGAATTCCTTGACACTAGGCCCTGGGGCATTAAGGTTGTATCCATCAGCTTTATATTACCTTAACTAAAATCTCTGAGAGGAGCTTTTTAGGAAGAAAAGAGTATTTTGGCTGACATTTTGGAGGTTCAGAATCCAAGAACTGGTGACTCCACTGGTTTAGACAAAAGAGAGACAACCACACGTCTCTACAGGGAGCAGAGACAGAGAAACCATGCACTTTTTACATCCTCCAAATCATCTCTGTTTATCACACTATCATGATTTGATCATGGACTCCACCCAAAAACCAAAGCCATTTCTACAACTTCCCAAAAACCCACCCTTAGACTCCATAACTGGATCAAGTGTCTACTCCAGTGCATTAACGTAGATTAATGCATTGCCCGTTTATATATTTGCATGATTGTGAGAAAGCAATATCCCATTCAAATCACAAGGACTTCCACCCCAGTCCGCCTCTCCTGAGACCTCAAGTTTCCCCTCTTGGACTGAATCACGTCACCTATGTTATGGGCCCTCCACTTTGTAAACAGAAATCTGCAAAACTCCTCAACTTAGAATCACATCTTTCTAGTATTGCTTTTGTTGTCTGTTCATTGGCAGTTTTACCAAGCAATCATCAACTACACTGATGTCTTAAAGTGTTTCCCCACATTTTCTTCTAGCAAATTCATAGTCTTGGGTATTAACTTTATGTCTCTCATCCATCTTGCATTTATTATCGTACATAGTCAGAGCTAGGGACCTAATTTACTTATTCTACGTATATACATCCACTTTTTCCAGCACCACTTATTGAAGAAATTATCCTTCCCTCAGTGTTCAGTCTCAGCACTTCAGTCTGAGAATTTGACTTTATTTACCTGGTGAAAAATTATTTGGCTATATGTACTTTGTGAAAATAAACAGCCTTGTCTGAATCCATACCTGAGAGAACATGCTGCTACCTTTGCCTTATGGAGTATGATATTGGTGTTTATTTTTTTAAAGATTTATTTGTTTGTTTTTTATTGGAAAGGCAGATATACAGAGAGGAGGAGAGAAAGAGAGGAAGATCTTTCATCTGATGGTTCACTCCCCAAGTGACCACAACAGCTGGAGATGAGCCAGTCCAAAGCCAGGAGCTCTTTTGGGTCTCCCACGTGGATGCAGGGTCCCAAGGCTTTGGGCCATCATTGACTGCTTTCCCTGGCCACAAGCAGGGAGCTGGATGGGAAGCAGGGCTGCCCAGATTAGAACTGGCAACCATATGGGATCCCAGCACATGCAAGGCAAGGACTTTAATCACTACGCTGTCGTGCTGGGCCTGACATTGGCTTTTAAATTTTGAGGTACGTTCCCACTAAATCTAATTTGTGGAGAGTTTTTAAAATCATAAACAGATACTGAAGAATATCAAATACTTTCACGTCTATCCTTACCACGTGATTTTTGTTCATTCTAAGTTATGACTTTTATTGATTTTTGTGGCCTTTTGGTGGTAACACTGTTGATGGAAGTTGTCTCTTCTCAGTAAATAAGAAAATTTAAAAACTTTTAAAATGCCAGAAAATTGAGTATTACAGTAAAAATAGAATTATTCACTGTGACCAGGTGGGATTGAGTCCAAGTTTACAGAAATAGTTCAACGCATGCAAATCAGCAACTGTCATACATCACATAGAAAGCAAGGACAAAAATCATATAATTATTTCAATATACTAAGGAAAAACATTCAATAAAAATCATCCCTTTATCATAAGAGCTCTCCATGAATTTATATAAAAGGAACATACTTCAATATAACTAATGCTATATATGACTAACTAATGGTCAACATCATCCTGAATGAGAAAACAGCTAGCGCATTTCTTGGAGGACCTAGAACAAGAGATAGATGCCATGCTTAGCACTCATAACCAGCACTAGAGGTCTTGACCAGATCAATTAATATAGTGGAGGACATTAAAGTAATACGAATTCATTGCTAAAAAATTCAGATTTTGCATTTGTAGATAATGTGATAGCTATGGTGGTCCCATAATCCCATGAAAGATGTATTTGTCACTTCCATGTAGCATGCTGTTATACAGTCCTTTTCTTCAAACAAGAGATTTTTTGATTTCCCAGGCACAAAGTTGCAATTCTGCTCAATCGATGTCCATACTATCGGCAAAAGCCTATGAGCTAGCGAAAACATAGCACGATGTGGTATTAAGGATGGCCTAAGCGGCCATCATCTTCTGATAAAATATCCTAGGAGACTCTACTTGTTTACTTGGCTGTCTGCTGGCTTTCCCACAGAACGGTGTTTATACCATGATATTGCCTCAACAGACTTCTCACCAAATCTTGAATTTCACATAGGCACATAAGGAAGCAGCACTTTACAGTCGCTTGGTCCCTGCTGGTAAACTAGCCCTTTGTTCAGAAAGAATATTGGTCACTTTAGGTCCTTATTTTGGCCAAAAGTTGACTGTAACATTTGTAATTGGTAATTGAATTATCTTGAACCTGCCCATTTAAAAAAAAAAAAGATTTAATTTTTATTGGAAAGACAGATTTATGGGGAGGAGAGACAAAGATACAAAGATTTCCCATCTGCTGGCTAATTCCCCAAATGACTGGAAAGGCCGGAGATGAGCAAATCCAAATCCAAGAGCCAGGAACTTCTTTCGGTTCTCCCACAAGGGTGCAGGTCCCATGGCTTTGGGCCATCTTCCACTGCTTTCCCAGGCCACAAGCAGGGAGCTTGAAAGCAAGTAGAACAACTGGGACACGAACTGGCATCTATATGGGATCCTGGCACTTACAAGGAAGGAGTTGCCCATTGAGTCATCATACAGCACCTGGACCTGTCCTGTCCACCTGTGCCATTTTGCTTTATAATCACCCAAGTGTGAATGGGCAGTTCAGGTTGCAATGTCTCTGGCTTTAAGTGAGAGAACCATGTGCTGCACTCCCCTGTTTCTACATCCTTTGCTCTCCCCCTCAGTCTGTGTTGCCTGCTCATTTCTATTCATGGGCTGGATGAGTATGCCCACTTACCACTTCTGTCTCTCCTTAGAGCATCCATCTACATGGCTAGCACCTGCAGCCTTGGCTGTATGGTATCCACAGCCCAGTGGACCCTGGCTGCTTGTTGTTTAATAGAAGTACTATAATCATCTGGGGGTGGAAAGATGGGGAGGATGGAAGGAGAAATCCCTTAGCCTGACCATGGAAGCTTGACCTTGGATGCTTGACCTTGGAAGTTTGACCTTGGAAGTTTGACCTTGGAAGCTTGACCTTGGAAGCATGACCTTGGAAGCATGATTAAGGAACCTTAGTGGTTGAATGATCAGTATGTGGTCACTGTGGTTTGGATACGATTAGGGTCTCAAACTCATACATATTTTAGACTCAGATTCATGAGTTAGGGTTAATGGTTGTAAGAGAGTAAAAACTTAATTCTGGTGTTTAGAGATGAGGCTTTGAGGGAAGGATTACATTGGATTTGGCTTTTGAGCGGAGTTACCATGATCTAATTCGTATGGTTTTGTTAAGCAAAGGCATAGATGTATGCAATATCTCCACTTTTTGCAGAAAATATACTTGCAATTATGCCGGTAGCAGATTCTAATGCAGTGGGATTACATTCTCTTGGATTGTAACTAGAAATCAAGAATAGGTAAATTCTAATTTGCATGCAATATGTGAAAAATGCAAGAGAATTTATACTGACAAGAACCAATTAATATATACACTGCAACTAATTAAAAATGAGTGCAATATAAGATAGATGATATTGTAATTGTCCTTCCATATACTTTCACTTCCCTCTTCGTCATCATTGTATCACTTTCTGAAAATCATTACACCTAGTTTGTTATAATCACACTAACATAAATGCAATTGGTATACAATTAGGGCTTATCAAGCAGAATAATATTTAATAGAAATAATACACTGAACATGTTTATTTTAGCAAGATCTTAAAGAAATTAAATAACGTGTTCCAAGATACATAGCAAACTTTATTCTGCATTAAGTGTAGCTATGTCCCAAACCCAAATCATGATTCTGTCCGTTAAACTCACAATAATTCAAATGAGAACCCTTGGATTATACTACCAATTGAAATGATCAGACAGCTAAATATACAATTTACATGTTTACAGATTTTCCTCTAACCAACGAATATATTTATCTTTTATTTTCATCCCAAGACGTAAATAAAGTGGTGATGCCATAAGTGATAGAGCCCCATGGAATCCATCCTCCAAGTGGTCATGAGTAACTTGAACTCCAAGATTCCGGAGCCGTGTGACGTACAGAAGTCCATCATCTCTAAGGATATCATATTCACAGGTGGCAATATATGTTAATGGCAAATTTCGCAACTCAGAATCATTGGCTATCAAGGGTGATACTCTACTATCCATAAGTTCTGGATAAGGAGGGTTCAGTCTTCGAAAAATTGGTTCAGTATAAACATGATTTTTTTTAAACTTAGCAGGAAGAAGAATACTCCAGTTGACATACTTGAACAGATGTCTCGATTCCTGAGGCATGTGTTGGTTTATGCTTATTGCCTGAAGCAGTGCTTTATCGTTGGTCAAATATAGGTGTGCCAATCTAATTGCCAAATCCCTTGACAGAATTGGACCCTGTTCATAGTCTTGGTGAGAGGGTGTTAAAGTATCAAATACTTGTAAGAACGGGTAAATTAAAGCTTGTGCCTTAATTTTAATTTTGAAGTCTGGATCATTTTGTAGCTGAAACAAAAAATAAAAACATGATTATATTAACGGCTTTCCAATTATAGAAGTAAGAAATCATGCTTTAATACTAGGAGGTAACCAAATGTACAAAATTGATATAGTACCAAATGACTATTTTCGTATTTATACTTTATTTGCAAACATGATGCTGTCCTACTTTTGTATCTCTGTCTCACACACACACACACACACACAAACATCCTCGTAATATCTTACTAACATGACCGCCAAACAGAAGTATATTAAGATATTTCCATGGACAGTGATAAGTTTTGTATATTTAAAAATCATTTTTATTGTGATTTAAGTGAGAAAAATAAACATAATCATTTAATATCAATACCTAAACTCAAATATTAACCAAATTTGGGGATTATTCCCAATGCACAACTTACCTTTGGGACAAATAGTATAAAGTGATAGAAAACAAAGTTTCAAGAGGAGTAAGTGAGAAGGAACCTCTCTTTCTTACCAGGAATGAGAAGTTTCCTGAAATCTTAGCTACAATTGCTTTCCTCTACCTTCTCTCTCTCTCTCTTAATTTTTTATTGGAAAGTTAGATTTACACACAGAAAGCTCTTCCATCCACTAGTTCACTCCTCAAGCAGCTACAATGGCCGGAGATGAGCTGATCTGAAGCCTGGAGTCAGAAGCTTCTTCCAGGTCCCCCATGTGGGTGCTGGATTCCAAGGCTTCGGGCTGTCCTCAACTGAATTCCCAGACCATAAATAGTGAGCTGGGAAAGAAGTGGAGCAGCCGGGACATGAACCAGTGCTCATATGGTATCTTGGTGTCTGCAAGTCGAGAACTTTAACCACTAGGCTATGGCAATGGGCCCTACCCTTTCTGTTTTAAGTCCTGTCCAGTTCACAAGAGAACCAATGAGCTAAGCATCCAACTAGCTTCTGAAACAACAAAATTGGAAAAATTAATGTGTCTGCTAACATTCCATTAAAAAAAGCTCCAGATCTGGAAGTCGTTTTATTTGTTTTATGTCACACTCTCACCAGAGTACCTGAATCACACACAAGGAGAATGGCTTAACGTCTCGCCGGCATAAAGTCCAAAGGGAAACGCCCCTGCTCCCACTCGCGTCCCCCTTGAGTTACAGTCTACTAAACAAACTGTATCCCTCATCAACACGGTGGAGGAAACAGCACCCAGCGCAGAACCTGCAGTGAGGCACAGCATCAACGGGGACTGTCCCAGACCAGGAACAGAAGTAACGCAACAACAATGAAGAAGAGAATCTACTAGTACTAGAGAAGTGATGACAGCGTCCATTCAATCTTTTACTTTCCATTCAGAAATTCATGTATTTCTATGTTGAAATCTAGAAGAAGCTTAGATTTTACTCTTAGCACCTTACCCCAATATATACCCATAATGAATGTCAAGTGAACAGTTTTATTTGATTTCAGATATTTCATCCTTAATGTCTTTAAGTCCTTCACTACGTGTCCATTGAACTTTTATTACCATTTTGAATTCGTTCAAGATTCAAGTCAAATTCAAGCTTTGTCAATAAACTAATAGAAAATCTGCCCCCAAACGGTGCAGAGCAGTTTTGCACCAGACACAGTCGCTATGTTATCAGTGTCACACAGAACTCTGTGTGTTCCAGTACAAGTTTCAATTTACCCATAAACAATCATGTATAATTATACATGCAGGACCTAATGAAGAGAATCACTTCTTTTCCTAAACTTTCAATTATTTATCTCAGTTAAGCATCTTGGGCCAATTTTCATTTTATTAAGACTGTATGTGTGTTCATCTCAACAGCGCATTTACTAAGACTGAAATAGTACAGAGAAGATAGCATGGCCCCTGCACAGGGAAGACACACAAATTAGTGAAGCATTCCATATTTTTATATATCATATGTTCTCTGATATAAGGCAGCCTCCTTGCAAAATACATTTTCAATAGTCCTTGAAATATGTTTTTGTTGCATCTCATGGGTTTTAACATTTTTTCTTTTTATTTTCATTTCTTCAAAGGTTTTTTTTCTTATTAATTTCTTCAGTGATTCATAGGCCATACAATAGCATCATTTCCTTCAAGAAAATTTTTTATTTCCAGTTCTTCAGTAACACATTAGTCACTCAGTAGCATGTTATTTAGCTTTACGTTGTTGTACATTTTCTATTTTTCTTCCTGTTGTTGATTTTGTTTTATGACTTTCATTTAAGGGGATTTATACTAACTGTGTAGTAGAGACTAGCATATCCAGAAGTGAAGATACAATGCAGTATGCATCTCTATTTCCAAATCAAAAATGGACTTGTAATGAAATTGTTAAACATACCTTGAAAATAGGATGCTGGACTCTCTGCCATTGTCCATACTACAATGTCAGGGTTCAATTAAATAGCAGAATGATGGACTTAGGACTGTTTTTGAAGGACGATACTACTGTAATAATATGGGGGGCAGAACAGGAGAATTGGAAATTTGGGGAACGAGTAAAGGGTACCCCTATGGAACTGTGTTGTAAAAAATGAATAAATAAGTATGAATGACAGGAAATCCACCTGTGGGACCCAGAGGAAGCTCCTGTTCCTGAGTTTGAATGGGCTTAACTCCAGTTACTGCAGCCTCTTGGGGAGTGAACCAGCGAATTAAGAATCTCTCTTTCTGTGTCTCTCTTCTCCCTGTAAATCTGACATTCCCATAAAAATAAATAAATCTTTTTTTAAAAGACTATATGTAATGTTACTCCTTATGTTATACTTTTATGTGGTGATATAAATTGCAACAATATGTAGTGCTTTGCCTGATCCATCATATTTCTCCTTGCATATCTATCATCCTTTCACATTTACCATTATGTATCTAAATATGAATTTTATGTACTGCATATCTATTATATCATAACATGTTGATTTATAGTGTAATATGACCTATTGCATACATTACAAATTATACCTAGTATATGATAAATGGACAAATTAATTAGTTAAATAATCAATATTGTTATACAGCATTCTATTATTTAAACAGGAAGCAGGATGTTAGCCCTGTAACCAAAAAACAGTATTGGAAAAGTAATATCAAGCCTATGACATGTAGGTTTTTACAACAACTATTGCTTGTTAAACAATGCATAGAGGCTGACAGCCTCAAGAGGTCAGACTTGCCATTGGAGACAGAACTCACTTTCAAATAGAGGAAATGAAACAACCATGAACATTATTATATTATTTCTTGCTTATGAATGATTTTTATATTGCAATCATGTTTCTTATACTTTGTAAGTAGAGTGTCCTTTAAGGAAAAAATAACTTAATGTTATCTTTAACAGCAACTGTTTTTGATTTTTGTAGAAGTGGCTCTGAATTTTCATTTGGCCTTGGACCCAGAAGATGTTTAGCCAACTTCCTAACAGATGAATTTGAAAACAGTATTTGAAGCCAGGTTACAAAAGGCCTTGTGTCCTGATAGAAACTTTCTTACCAATGGCAATAATGGATCTGTGACCCTTTACATTTATTCCCAGAGTCTAGAAAGTTCGATAGTATCTAAGTAAACAATGGGCTATTGTAAATGAATAGCAATGGTACAAGCATTTTGGCTTTATCCCAGCAGACACACTCAATCCATGCTGAATGCAACAGGACTTCCAGCTAAAGTTTCCAAGTTACTACTTACCTTGGAAATATCATGGCCTAGTGACTCCACTTTCCCCACTTGGGAATGAGTCCTTTCTATTCCTTCTCAAAACTTCCCACTATGTGTCTCTGAAGTAAGACCCTAAAACAGTTTTATAATTATAGGTATGTTTGTGATAATAAAATATTCAAGTCAATACCCAATCTACAAGAAGGGAAGAGGCAAATAACAATATTACTCAGTGATTGAAAATCTAAATGTTGGAGTTCTTTGTGTGTTAGCTTGAGGCTTTTTTTTTTTTACAATGTTTTAATTTAGCGTGCTTAGCATGTTGCCTAACCTTTCACACTCTATTTCTTAATCACTAAAATAGAGAAAATTTTAACCACTGTGATATACTTTTTCATGTGTAATGATAAGATTGCTTCAGGAAAGAAAGTTTCTAGGAATGTAGTAAGTATCAAATTAACATTAACTATATTTAAGGTGACATGGAAGCTATTAAAAGTTATATACTATGAAAGTGAGTGGGTTGGCTTCCTTTTTTTTAAAGATAAATAGACAAGGACATATGTGCTTTGGTGGAAAACCACGTAAACAATTAGGCCACCAGTTCTATAAGATGTTAAAGTATAACAAATGTCAAGAAAGTAACAGAGCTCTTATTGCATGAATGATTTAGAAATAAAAAGTATGTACACATTTTACAGTAAGATCCTTGTAATCCTAAAGGCAATGAAAGAAATACAAATATAACAAGCAAATTTTAGAAGTTGGAATTTTTAAATGTAAAGATACAAAAAGAAAACTCACAATCACAACAACGAAAGCAGATTCAGAAGAAAATAGCATGTTAATATTTTTAGTTAGCAAACAACAATTATTAACCACAAAAAAACTCTTCTAGAAAACAAACTAAAGCGATGCAAAGCCCACTGCAGCAGAAACAAAATCTCTTATATTTTCTATTAACACTAAAAATATTCCATTTTGGCGACAATAAAAGAGGAATGTCCATGAAAACCATTGGTAAAATATTCCTTTTTATGTGTCCAAAAATAGGTCACTGTGACTATTGCTGTATTTGATATGAAACAAAATAGATTCTATTTACATTTCTTGTATCAAAGCAATTTTTTACAGATATTTGGCAAAAAAAAGTCTTCCAGTCTTAATTATTAAATTTTTCTACCTCTGATAATATATTTGAAGGCAGTAAGACTGAATACAGAAAAGGAAGCCTGTCCCAAGAAATCTCCCATACTTCTCTGCACTATGATTCACATAGTGTATACTTTTACTTTCCTCTTAGAAAACACACGCAGACACACACACACACCTACACCCCTCCTCTCTGGTGGTTTGCTTACAAAAATTCATTATAATCTTTTTAAAGCCTCTATTAGAATAACGAGGATTCCAACAGAGGAATAGAATAAACAGTTGCAGAGAATCTTTTGAAGGATTATAAGTTTATATGGATTGGTCAATCTTCCAAGGTCAAGCTTCCAAGGTCATGCTTCCAAGGTCAAGCCTCCAAGGTCATGCTTCCATGGTCAAGCTTCCAAGGTCAAGCTTCCAAGGTCATGCTTCCACAGTCAAGCTTCCAAGGTCATGCTTCCACAGTCAAGGTTCCAAGGTCAAGCTTCCAAGGTCAAGCTTTCAAGGTCATGCTTCCAAGGTCAAGCTTCCAAGGTCATGCTTCCATGGTCAAGCCTCCAAGGTCATGCTTCCAAGGTCAAGCTTCCAAGGTCAGGCTCAGGGATTTCTCCTTCCATCCTCTCCATCTCCTCCGCCCCCAGATGATTACAGTCATTCAGCAACAGTCAACTTGTAGGACTAGTGGACTTGGTCAGGTTCAACAGCTCACTGTACCTCAACCAGGTTTTGCTGATCTCCTGTCCAGATAGAAGTCATTGGTTGAACACATGTAGGTTCAATGATTTCAGCTAAAAGTTGTGAAATGGTGGGTTCTGTGATGGGAATGTTCCCATTAATGGTCATGTTGAAATTAAATCCTGAGTGAAGTATCAAGAGGGTAGACATTAATTGGACTATAGTATTGGGAAGCAGAAGCTATGAAAGTCATTATGGCCCATGAATGAGCCTGTCATCCAACAGGACACAAACTTGGTTCATTTTCTCGTTTCCTTTTGCTCCCATTTTTCCTTTTCCTTTAGGATTTTACAGTAGTTTAATAATAGAAGCAACAGTTCTCATAAAATGGAAAACAGCCTAAAGAAAGGTTATGTGCACCATTGATACTATTGGAATCAACTTCAAAACACTAAAAAGTGAAACGAAAGTATTATGTGTGGAACTCAGGCACACAGATTCGTGTCCTAGGGGAAGATGGGGAATGAGCATCCAGCCCATCCTGGTGCCCGACCACTGGCAAAGTCCTCCCAGCACTGCCTCATCCCTGGATTGAGACAGCCCCGGCCATCTTTGGAATTTGGGGATGTGAAGCTTCTCAGTACAGGCAAGGAACATGCAAATCTGTGATCAAAACCCACCGGTTTCATCTGCTTCAAGATTCCCAGGCGATCCAAGGGAGGCTGTGAGATCCCATCAAGAATCATGACGGAGGCCAATTGTTCTATTGTCATGTACTAAAGGAGATTCCAAGAGATCGCTATTGTCTATGTTGCTTATTTTTATTTGAAGTTATTAGAAAAGCTGAATGAAGTTTTGACACCATATTCACTTTGTCAGTTGAGACACATCTCTGTGTTGTAAACAATATCCAATCCCCCCTCCCCATTTAGGCTAAATTTGCTCAATTATACAAAACAAAAAACAAACAAACGTTTCAGAGATGAGAACTAGCTATCAGCCTGAAATCAATGAAAATGCATTCTTGGTTGGCGGACTGTTTAAGTACACAAAACAAGATTTTCTTTTAGCATGAGATAATTTCTCTCTTTATCATAGCAGTAGGTTTCTACTTAGGTATGTCAGATGACCTAAATGTCATCTTGTGGTTCTTCTTAGGATCTAATACATCAATTATAATGATTGAAATTGCTTCACAGGGCCCGGCGCGGTGGCACAAGTGGTTAAGGTCCTCACCTTGCACGCCCGGGATCCCATATGGGCGCCGGTTCTATCCCGGCAGCCCCGCTTCCCTTCCAGCTCCCTGCCTGTGGCCTGGGAAAGCACTCGAGGACGGCCCAAAGCTTTGGGACCCTGCACCCGCGTGGGAGACCCGGAAGAGGCTCCTGGCTTCGGACCGGCATAGCATTGGCCGTTGCGCTCACTTGGGGAGTGAATCATCGGACGGAAGATCTTCCTCTCTGTCTCTCCTCTCTGTATATCCGCCTTTCCAATAAAAAGAATAATAAAAATAAATCTTAGAAAAAAAAAAGAAATTGCTTCACAGATTTCACAGCCTACCCACCGAGTGTCATAATTCCATATCATTTTTACATACTTGTATTGCACTGCAGTATGTTTCTTAAAAATAGTGTGAATATTTAGCATTATATGTAAAACCACACCTGTCTAAAGACAATATTATGAGAAGAAGGACAGAAAATGGTTTGAGTGGGGGGTGCATTATTTTCCATATCTCGGTTTAAAATAATAGACCAATACAAATACTGTAATTGAGCTAAAATGGTTGTACTAGAGTGTGTGTGTGTGTGCATGCTGTACATACCAGTTGAGTTGCTTCCGCTGCTAGCGAACCCCCAGAACTATCTCCCGTTATGCACACTCGAGTGGGGTCCACTCCATATTGTATGACCATCTTGTCTTTCAGAAAGAACTTGACCACAGAAACCACATCTTCAAGGGAAACCGGGAATTGATGCCGAGGGGGTAATCTGTAGCTTCAAGAGAAAACCAAACGTCACAAAGCATGCATTATAACATTTAAGCTTCTGTGCATACAACCATCTACAAACCAACCAACAGCTTCACTGAGCAAAACTGGCGCTAACTTGTATCTTTAACGTCAACAACTAAACCTGAGCTTACTGCCAACTTCCGTTTCAAAACAGGAAGAAATACCTGGAAAACAAAAATGGTTTTAAAATGCTTGTTCTGCAGGCATATGTGAAAGAAAGGCTGAATATATGGAAGAGATTCGGCACAGCTAGCACTGATTTTGCGGGTGTTTATTTGATCCATAAAGTGGCAGGCGACTCGCAAATTTCAGAACCATTGATGGGACTGTAGAACTTACTTGGATGTTGAAAATCTAGATAAATTGTTTTGAAGTAAAATAATGAAATTAAGTGTGGGAAGATCTTTTCTTAATTATTACAAGTTCATGTGTAAAACAAGTTATTACAGCACCTTTCAATGCCTAAATACACACTTGGGAAAGCTTGTGGGGAAATTGAATTAAAAGTGGAATTTCGGGCCCAGTGTGACAACCTAGCGGTTAAGGTCCTCGGCTTGCACACACGGGGCATATGGGCATCGGTTCTAATCCTGGTGGCCCCGCTTCCCATCCAGCTCCCTGCTTGTGGCCCGGGAAAGCAGTCTAGGACAGCCCAAAGCCTTGGGACGCTGCACCCATGTGGGAGACCGGGAAGAGCTCCTTGCTCCTAGCTTCGGACTGGTTCAGCTCCAGCTGTCGCGGCCGCTCAGGGAGTGAACCATTGGATGGAAGATCTTGCTCTCTGTCTCTCCTCCTCTTTGTGTATCCGCCTTTCCAATAAAAACAAATAAAAATCTTTTAAAAATTAAAAAGTGGAATTTCATTTTAGTGCAAAATTTTAGTGCACTAACACGTAAAATAGCTATTATGAAAAACCTAAGTCAAAGATCATTTTCCACCGAAACAAATTGTAATTTCAGTTGCAGTTTTCCACAAAGTATTTGACATACTTTTTATGCACCATTTAAGCATAAAATCATATACACATACATTAGCAAAGCTATGCAAATACATAAGCAATTATTATATGTGCGAAACTATATATTTCTAAATATGTATCTATTATAATAATCTTAATACCCTTAAGAATTAGTGAAATATCCACATGCAAATACTTGTTACAATTCTTAGGTCAAGCACAAAATATATATTCATTTCAAAAATGATGGAGCGGGGCCGGCATTGTGGAGCTGCAGGTTGTCACCTGAGACACTGGCACCTGTTCATGTCCTGGATTCTTAAGCCAGCTCCCTGGGAAAGCACCTGGGAATGCAGAAGCAGAAGGCCCAAGTGCCTGCACCTTTGCCATGCGCATGAGATTTCCCAGTGACATTCCAAGCTCCTCCCTTCAGCTTGTTCCTGCCCTGGCTACCATTGCCTTTTGGGTTGTTAACAAGTAAAAAGTAATGGATGTTTACAATTCCCACTGGAATATTGTTGGAAATTGGGGCAAAAAAAATTAAATTTAATTTTAAAAACATGCAACATTGAAATATCCTTCTCTGAGAATGACTTAAAATACTCAGAGGCTTCCAACCTTTGTCACATTCTCTTCCTCAAATCAAAGAAACCTCTAAAATGTCTTTCAATCATCAGTTCAAAATAAACCAAGCATCCCAAGTCTGTAATGAGAAAAGCTCGCCATTAAGTTAATTCTAAAACCCAAATTCTGTGTCCCTATAGATTGACAGCTGCTGCTGATACAATGGATACTTTGTCACTTTATAGAAACATACATGTTATGCTGATAAAAATATTAATAGAAACTTCAAAATTCTAGGGTGGTTTGTTTTGGAAATCAAGTCTTTGTTGTAGGACAAGGACTTAAATATTAATATGTATCTTTGTATGTTTATTTGTAGTCTCTTACTCCACTCCAACAACTACAGCACCAAGTTTGTTTGCCGTCCATCTATTCAAGGAGTCGTAAGCCGTCTGCTCTGAAATAAAGACATATATAAAAGTAAACTATAAATAAAGATGGTGGGAAACTACTGAAATTCATGAAATACAACAGAAATAAGGATTTGATTAACTGACGGGATCCCCCTTGTCCCACACGCAAGAACAGTAAGACTTTACCAATCTTCCACTTCCTGGATCAACCCCCATCAAACAAGAAGACACTTGATTGGTGACAGTGACAAGACAATCTTGTCATGCCCTAGTGACGCTTCTTTGTGGTGTCAAACCATTGCTTTCAAGGTTAGTGGGCTGCATTCTTTGAACAGGCACTAAGCATCAAAAATGGACAACACACTTTATGTTGCACTCTTTTCTTGGCTGGCTCCATCAAGGGAAGGCCGTGGTTGTACAGCAGTTGGAAGCTAAACCGCATAAATATCTAATCAAGGATAACCCACTAACAAGACCTAAGGACTGATACTCTAAATTTTAGCAGTAGTAAACATAATATTTGAACTCTCCTCTTCATGAATAGATATCTCTCATTATTTTCAGAACTGAGAAAATGGTGTGCTCTGTAACTGAAACACTTGACTCTCATTCTGTCCCTTAAAACCTGAAGATACTTTTGTATCCACCATAATTTTCATACATTCATAGGTTCAAATGTAGCTCTCCATTTTTCCAGAAACTACTAATCAATATCCTTGTCATTGTGAATAAAGTAAAATTAATTAATCCAGTGACAGACAGACTTATAAACATATTTCCAAAACAAAGTGAGGTTTTCCTTTACCAACGTTTCAGATAACACATGATATTTAATAAACTTGTAAAGAAATCTGTCTTCTTCCTGAATGGGTGTCACAATTTAAAACTTAGTCTACAGCACACCAAAAGTGATGCTACATTGCACTATGTATCTTTACTTCTGAATAAAAGATGAATTCCCAATGAAATTAACTAGGATAAATATATATTGACACTAGGATGCCGGAATTTCTACCATTTCTATACCTCCACTGTCATGATACACTTGCACAGCAGAATGAGATGCACCTGTGACTGTTACTGAAGGACTATGCTATTGTAATAATAGAGAGGAAAATAGTGGGATGGGGAGGATGGGAGGGAAATCCCTGAGCCTGTGCAACTGTATCATGAAAAAGAAAAATTTTAAGAAGGAAAACATTATTACAGAATAAAATTTACCACTTAAGCATTAAAGTATTTAAAAAGTTTAGTCTATCAAAGAATAAGACGTTCTTGACATCCAATTTCTTATCTACATAAATCACTAATTGAATGTGCCGGTTGAATACTTAAAAGTGGAGGGAGGATGAAAAAGATTGAGTAAAAAACATGATGAAATCCTATTAAAAATCAATGTTGAAATTCCTTTCATTCAATATATGTTTATTCATTTATTCAAAAGGCGCGAATTTGGCAATCAATATGTGGAAGACACTCTGTCATGTAGCAGTGACTCAAAGATAAGGATATGACGGCTTTCATCCTATGAAGCAGGATACTACAGGGAAAATTCCTCTCAAAGGTTAAAACTCGTGAGAACACGTGGGGAGACTGAGGAAATATGTGCAGATACAAGCATTTGAGATTAAAATATAAAGAATGGGTTAAAACTGAGACAACACAGCAATACAGAAAAATTGATATAGAACCTGGATACTATATATTAAGTATTTGCCAATAAGTGGTGAATATTATTTAAAAATTTCACTAAAAGGTTAAATAGCAGCTGGAGCTGTGGTCTCCTAGACTTGGTCCCGAGCTGTAGCACCAGCATCCATATGGGGACTAGTTCCTGTCCTGGCTACTCTGTTTCTGTTCCAGCTCTCGATTGCCTGGAAAAGCAGCGGAAGATGGTCCAAATGCTTGGACTCCTGCACACTCACGGGAGGCCCAGAAGAGGTTTCTGACTTCAGATCAACTCATATTTGGATGAGGATATGGAAGTAAATAAACAGACTTTGTATAATGGAGGCAAGTATACCATCGAATGGAGATACATGGCAGTATGCATTTCTACTTCCGAATAAAGGATGGACTCCTAGTGATACTGTTAAATAGCATGCTGGATTTAACACAGTTGCTTATACCTGCAACGTCAGGAGAAACTTAAATAGAAGAATGATGGACTTGTGATTGTTTTTTTTTTTAAGATTTATTTGATTTTTTTGGAAAGTCAGATATACAGAGAGGAGGTAAGGCAGAGAGGAAGATCTTCCATCCAATGATTCACTCCCCAAGTGAGCGCAAGGCCAGAGATGAGCCAATCCGAAGCCAGGATCCAGGAACTTCTTCCAGGTCTCCCACACAGGTGCAGGGTTCCAAGGCTTTGGGCCGTCCTCTACTGCCTTCCCAGGCCACAAGCAGAGAGCTGGATGGGAAGTGGAGCTGCCCCTGGGATTCGAACCGGCACCCATATGGAATCCTGGCGCGTTCAAGGTGAGGACTTTAGCCAGTAGGCCATGCTGCCGGGCCCGGACTTGTGATTGTTGCTGAGGAACTAAACTATTGTTAGAATATAGGGGGAGGGGATTGGGATGGGAGAGGAGAAGAAGGACAGAAGGGAAAATCCCTGAACCTAAGGAATTTTCTCATGAAAAATAAATATTAAAAAAAACCCTAAAATTAAAATACAAAAAAATAAAAGGAAGAAACAACAGGAAGGAATCTAAACTCCGTTTCTTTTACTGTGACTGAAAAGGGAAAGATACTCAGAAGGTGAAATGTCAAGGAAATAGCTGCAATTGTAGAAGATATAGAAAAGTTTGTAATTGACCGCTGGGGCCATTTTCTGACAGCACAAGTTGAGGAGCATTTCCTTAGCTTACTTTGTTGTAGTTTTATCATCGTTCCGTTGTTTCATTACTGGGAGAGAGAGATCACCAGGTTTGCTAAGCCTAGGAATACAATAGGCTTCCCCCAGGCTTAGCATTTCTCAGCACATTCACTAAGCTAGAGTTTGTGTTAAACTGAGAGCATCTCTGATTCTCCTAGGTGCACTGGCCCTGAACGCAGGGAATAGTGTGATAGCTGGGGACACAAAGCCAACGTTCAATATCATGAATGTGCGGAGTAGGATGTTGAGGGCAACATAAAGAACTTACACAATTAAAAATTGAAAAAGCGAAATTCTGGTGAACACAGGCATGCAGAAAGCGTACAGAAGCTGTTTTAAGATTTTTAGTCGTTTTGCATCAAAATGAGAGAGGCAGATGAAGACGTAGGGAAATGAGACACATGGAAGGTCAGAGAAACTTGTTTGAGAGAAATCAAAGGGGTGTAAGTTTCACCAAAATAGAGGACAGCACTTGTTCTCAAATTACATGATTGGGACAATTATTCAAACAGGTCACATTGGTAAATGGAAGAAGAAAAGACAACTATTGATAAAATCAAATCATAAAGAGGCATTTTATCACCATCAGAAATAGGATTTAGTTTTGACAAAATACCAAAAAAAAAAAAGTACTTCCTGAGACCAAAGGAGAACAGGCATGTATAGGATTCATTAAGTTACAAATGGTTTTTAACGAAGTGCAATGTGGACAAGGGACAAGGGAGTGGAGTGCAAGGGTGCTAAATAAATGGACTTACATGTTCAGTAGCTGATGCATAATGAGGAGGGAGGCTTAAAGTGAGTAACCCCCAGCTGTAGGTTAACATTCAGGGAGTTAGCAGGGAGTATCTGCTGCTGAGGTGGTCTCTTTCAGCCACATCGAGGGCATAAGGGATTCCTCACCAACTGTATAATGATTAAATCTAAGATATTTCTGTAATGGGATTGGATTTGCCACTGGTTCCAGCACTTACTGGCAGCAGGACTCTGGAAAATTACTCCACCCCCCTGTATCTATGTCTTCATCTACAAAGCTATGGCAATAAGGCCCTTGTTTGCCAGGTAAGCCAAGTGAAAGTTGGCCACCCAACTGATTGCAACAGCATCTGTTGTACTGGGATGCTGATAGATCATGGAACCACAATTCTGAGGTTATAGTTTCTTTGTGGAGAAGTGTCATTCTATTTACTTCTCACATTTTCCAGGTCCCTAGTATGACATCCTGTGTAATCTGTGCTGTGTAGTCTGTGACATTTACCAACAGTTTAAAACAGTGTGTGAATTCAGTGTTGTGTGTGAGTATGTATGCGTGTGTCTGTGAAAACAATATTCCTTGCAACTCCTGGATTCGTCTCCAAATATTAGATGGGAACACAGACTTCAGAGAGGAACTTATTTTCAGTTCTGTTTCATTTTTTCTTCTAAGATGAAAGTTATGCATTGAATTCTAAGCCTGAGCATTATTGCTGTTTTCCAGTCTGCAACTTGAACATGTGTTTGCTCCTTGGTGACTGTAACAGTAAAGCACTTCATTTCAGATTCAGTAAATAAGACATTTTTCTCACTGAACCTGACTTACACTCCCTTAGTAATTTCAAACTTGTTTCAAGTTTATTGTTGAGCCTTGCATTCTATTCCATCAATTTAAGTTTATTTAAAGGCAAAATATTTTTACAGATGCTTTAAAATCATGTGAGTATCAAGTTATGTATGAACAAATATTTATGAATCATAATCGATATGGTTTATCATACTGGTAGGTTATATGCATATACTGACCAAAAATAGATGTTATGTCACATATTTTATATCCACTTTATATATATTAATATGATACATTTTAATATGAATATATGAGTTGTAGAACAAACACACACATGTATATTAAATAAAATTCACTTACTACAACTTCCTAAGACAAAGGCACCACCATGAACAAAAATTACAGCTGGTCTCTGTCCTTCTGACTTCCTCTTTGGCAAGTACAAACGGACTGAAATGCCACCAAACGCCGTGTCAGTCACTGTAACATTTTCATCAGATATTGGTTCTGTATAGTCCAGTGTTATTAACATAAGGAATAGTTCTTCATATTTCATAAGACCTATATTTTCAAACAAGATTGCCTGCCAAAAGAAAACAAAATTTACATCTTAGAACATTTTAATTTTTTAGAAACATCAAATGAACATAAAGGTAAAATAAAGAGGAAGAGTAAATAGCATAAATAATGTTGTAGTGATTTAACTGCACATCCTAAAACACGCATTATTGTCGCATCTAAATTATGTAGTATGTTAAAATAAGGGACATCTCAAAGCATTACTTTATAGGTAGTGAATTTCACACTGATCCAGTTATAAGCTTTCATATAAAATTATTTTGGAAATAACACCATATACTTCTTTGTATACATATTCTAATAATTCCATTTTATTTTGTTGGTCATTCTCTTAAAAAAGCACCTTGTAAAGCTGCAATGCTAATAAACTAAATTCCCCAAGTCTCCATTTTCCAACTACAAATAATCTCTTTTGTTTTTCTTGAAATAAGAAACCTATTTTTAAATTTTATGCTATTAAAGTGAAGCCCTCTTCAGTGGTTTTGTTTGTAAACTTGTTACTATATAGTTCACAGGAATAGAATACTCCAGAAAACCATGACAGAGCTGTGACGATTATGCATAACTCAGAAAACTAACATTCACAAGACAGGATAGACCACCTAACCTAGTTACTTTAATGATGATAATGGAAGTCCAAGTTATCAATCTAGGTTATGTACTAACTAGCAAAGAAACATGCTAACCCATTTTTCTTCACCAGTGTTATACATGTACCTCTCTTTATAATTAGTTGGCAAATTATGCTTTTAGAAAAGAGACAAAGCGAGAGAAAGAAAAAGAATGACAGATAGATAGGTAGATAGATAGAGAGAGAGATAGAGAGAGAGAGATGCAGGAAGTAAGTTACCATTTGCAAAGCCAACATTCGATATTGGGATATAGTTTGAGTCCCTCCTGTTCTACTTCTAATTCAACTTCCTGCCTAGGAAAAGCAATGGGGGGATGACAAAAATACATGAACCCCTGCCACCCATGGAGGAGGCCCAGCTTCTAATTTTGGCCAGCCTGCTTCTGGCTGTTCAGTCATTTTGATTAGTGATTCAGTGAAAAATTCCTAATCTCTCTCTCTCTCTGACACTCAAGCTCTGTTCATAGTCAATCCACTGCTAGCACTCATGCTACTTCATTTTTCAGTTCCTTCCATAACAGTTATACTTACTAACACTTATGAGAGAACTCAGAGGACAAAGTGAGTAATAGGGCTTAATGTTTCAACAAGAAATTTAAAAAGACACTAGTTCTGTTCTTCCTTCATTTAAATTTGTTTATTTTTACTATTCACCTAAGAAATATTGAATATGAGTTCCACCCATAACTTACTTTATTTTTTCCGGTATCTGTAAGATCTGAATCCATTTGTTTAAAATCAAAGTACTGAAAAATTATCTTACCTGATGACTTAACAAGAATATATTCACAAAACAAGCGTTTTCAGATTGACTACAACCCCATTTTATGTTAGTCTACTTGAATATACTTAATAAATAAAATGTATACACAAAAATAACCTAGCCACTAATTCTTCGGCTACAGAGTACCAGAATCCCATGCGTGTGCTGGTTCATGTTCTGGCTGCTCTACTTCCCATCGAGCACCCTTCTCATGAGCTGGGAAGGCAATAAAGGATAGCCCAAAATCTTGTGACCCAGCACCCGCATGGAAGATGCAGAAGAGTATCCTAGCTTCAGATCAGCTCAGCTTTGGCCATTGTAACCACCTAGTGAGTGAACCAGCAGAGGAAGGATCTTTCTCTCTCCTGCTCTCTGAAAAAAACTTCCTTTCCAATTAAAAAAAAAAAAAGTTAAACAGTATACTTGTCTTGTTATATTGAAAAATTATGATGTTTTATTAATTTATTTTTATCACTTTAAGAATACACACAGGATGAATATATTTTTAAATTATAGATTCTAGTGGCTTTTGTTTTTTTGGTCAAATGGAGGGCATGCTTGTTCAAGACTCTCTGTCCTCTTGATTATGTCTATATCAAACAGTAGCAAAGAAAGTCAGTACCCTGAGAAGAAAGAATAAGAAGATGAAGAAGAGGAATAAGAAGGAGGAAGAGAAAGGAAAATGGAGAAAAAAGAGAATGAGGGGGAAAAGAAAGAGAAGAACACGAAAAAGGAGGAGGAAATGTTTTGAGGAAGACGAAGTGGAACGTGAAAATTCAGTAAGGACTTATAAGAGAGAATCTAAGTTTAAATTTCTCTTTCACTCTTATTACCTTGACCTGAAGACATACTAAATCCCAGAATCACACACTGGGAGATGAATTTATATATTTCAAGAAAAGTCCTCTATTTCCACTTATATGTCTCTTTCACATGTGTCTCATTCCTCAATGTGTTGTGAGTGAGGCGTAAGGGCAGATATACCATTACCGTGTTCATATCCTTTGTTTTTCTCTTTTGTTTCCCAATATGGGCCATTATAGGCCATTATAGTAGAGGTTGAGACATGTAAAACACTGTGTGAAGACCAACACACACTGGCAAGGACTGGGGAAAAGGTACCCCACTCCATTGCTGATGGGACCATAGACGTGCAGCCACTTTAGAAGCTGTTCTGGAGAATACTTACACAATTGAAAATTCAACTACCATATGATCCAGCAATCCCACCCCTGGGAATATATCCAAAGAACTGATACACACACATAAGGAATCAACCTGTACCCCTATACTGATTACAGCACAACAACAATTGCAAAATCATGGAAACAACCCAGATGCCCACCAAACGAAGATTAGGTAAAGAAACTGTGGCACGTCTACTCTATGGAATCTACTCAGCTAAAGACAGAGAGAACACCTCCATCTACTGTTTTAATCCCAAAATGCCCAGAAGAGCTTGGGCCGGCCATGCCAAAGCCTAGCGCCTAGAACTCAGCCCAGGTCTTCGATGTGAGTGGAAAGGACCCAAGGACATGAACTACCACCCTGTGTATCATGGATACACGTTAGCAGTATCATGAATCATGAATCCAAAGCAGAATAGGCGGGTCTCAATTCCTGATGCCCTAGTAGAGGGCATGCTAACTGGTAACTTAAACTATAATAAATGCCTGCCGTAAATGTATCTTTTCATTTTCCATGAACCTTCTGGAAGTATCCTTGTGTGTGAATTCAACAGATGTGACAACTACACTATAAGGGGAAAAGTGTGAAGAAGCTGACGGAGTTAACAACCTCTGCTTTACATAAAGGAGCAGACGGTCTGTATAGGTTAGGCAAATGACTATAGTCGGCAGACAATGCCATTTTCAGAAAAGTATAGGGAGATGTAGCTAAGCATGAAATTTAAAAATCAAAACTGGAACACTAAATATATATTCACATAATCTGAAGAAAGGCAGGAAACTGAGAAGAATTCAAATTCACTAATCTTCCCTTAAAATATAAAAGAGAGGGCCTGGCGTGGTGGCCTAGTCACTAGAGTCCTCACCTTGAATGTGCCAGGATCCCATGTGGCTGCAGGTTCTAATCCCGGCAGCTCCGCTTCCCATCCACCTCTCTGCTTGTGGCCTGGGAAAGCAGTAGAGCATGGCCCAAAGCTTTGGGATCCTGTACCTGCGTGGGAGACCCAGAAGAGCTCCTGGCTCCTGGTTTCAGATTGGCTCATCTCAGGCCATCGTGGCCGCTTGGGGAGTGAACCATTGGACGAAAGATCTTCCTCTCTGTCTCTCCTCCTCTTTATATCTGACTTTGCAATAGAAACAAATAAATCTTAAAAAAAAAAAAAAAAGAAGGAACATTCTCATTTTGAAAGTGAAGAACAAACACAGAGGACTGTAAGTAATCTGATTTCAGAAACTGAAGCACTGTGTTAGCCAATGTAATGTAGCATTGTTGAAATGCTAGATGTAGATAAAGGCAAGAGAATAGAGTCAGAAGGAAATCGATGCAAACATATTCAGTTCATCACTTACTGTTTTCCACAAAGAATTCAATTAAAAATGAAAATATCAAGCACTGACAAGGATGCAGAACAGCTGGCCCTTTAACCTGTTGCTGATGTAACTACAAAGCAGCAGATCTTTTTGTAAAAGTGACATTTTCTGACAGGTTTAATAGCCCCTTGTAATATGACCCAATAAATCTAGTACCAACCAATTACTGACTTTTGTTCATGTGAAACCTTGCGGTATCTTTTAGTAACTTTATTTTTGTCCATCCAAATGTGGAATCCTTCAGCTGATTATCATGGACAAAGTATAATATATTCATATTTTGAAATACTAACGCATAGCTTATTTAACTTTTGACACTCTTCACTTGTGTATCACTAAGGATAAGCTAAGTAAAAGAAGTCAGACGCCAAAGGCCACAGGCAGTATGTCCTCAGGAGCATGACAAGGAGAGTGCAGCTTCTAAGGGCTTTTATTTTCTGACTGCCTAAGTTCCTCATGGTTTACTCAGCAAGTTTCCAAGAGAACGCATGATAGAGGCAGTCACAACAGACTAAAGGGGGAATCTGAGAAGATAATACAGATGTCCTCCATAAGAGAAGTGCAAAAGGGTTTGTGCAAAAGGCAATAATGTCACCATCAGAGCCACAGTGTTCCTGTTAAAATGGATTTCATTTCAACAAGAACATAACCCATTTCAACTTTTAATGAGATCATTACTCTCATTATTAAGCAACTAATTCCTAAAGCAGTTAATATCAATAAATATAATTGCATGAAAAAGTATGAGAAGCACTTAAAAGGCAACAAAACAGTAAAAGCAAACAATCTATGCACACATGAAGACAAACTTGCTACGTGCGTGTAAGCTCTAACAGAAGAGATGTGGTAAGTTTCAGTTGCCAACCCCTTAGATTTTCCTTTTAGATAATATTTTTTTTATCCTCACCACACTGCGCGACCATTAGACAAGGACTCAGCAATGGTAGCGTTTCTCTTTCTCTGCTTTATACAGATTCAAGGAAATATGTTGAAGATTAATTAATTAAAATACAATAGAATTTTCTCATTTATCATAAAAGAAAGGCAAACCCCCTTCAGAGTACTAGCTTTTGTTGAAGTGTCTCTGATTCCTCGGGTGGGGTTGGGGGAGGGCAATTACCGTCATTGAAGTGAGTTTTATGCCAGCGTCCACAACCATTACTTTCCAAGGTTCTTCGATGTCTTCTGGTAAGGGAGTATAAATAAAGTAAGCAAAGAGAATACAACACAGTCCAAACCACACGCTTTTGTACCCCATGATATTCTCATTTGAATCTTCATAGAGCGGTAACTTTAATGTCAGCCCATATATACTGAATGCTAAGTAATAGGACAAAGGTGGATGCAAACCTTCCCAAGTAACATGGGTGACTGCTTTAGCAATGCTGACTTCACACTCAGTTCCAAGTTTACACTGACAGTAGTAACGAGTTCTGCAATAGCAAGTCTTTCTGAAACTGAAGTCACAGCCTGTTCTATTGGGCATGCACTGATAGCAAGCAACTTAAATGTCATTCGTCCTTTCATTGTGATACCCTCATTGTCCCTGCACAGCACACTTTATTAGGAGCTGTGCAAGAGCATAGAACCATGAAATCCATTTTTTGATGTTTATTTTGCAGATTATTAGTAAAAAGAGGTTAATAAAACAAACCTACCAAATAACACTGGATCTGCCTCAAGGTTAATGCCTTCGGGATAGAATATTAAGAAAATCTTAATCCACTGACGAGGAGGAAGGAAACTGATATTCTTATCTGTGTCCCAGAATTCATTTATTTAAAGCAAAGCATTTATGTAGGGTTATATTGCACTAGACTGGAACATTTTAATCGTTTCATAATCACGGAGAAAGGATATATTCATTAAGCAAATGTACACTGCGTGCCTTGTAGATCCTTTGTCCATTATTAGCTGAAAGGGTTACAAAGCAGCAAACTCTAGCAAAGGTTCACGCCCTTACTGAACTTCATCTTTCCCTTTCTCGGTTTCCTAAGACTATGCTGGAAAATTTCTCAAAGAATGATTTCCTCATTGGACGCTTCTCCCAAGTGTCTCCATAATTTTGCAGCAGAAGTTACGATGGTTATACTGATTGCTTCAGGTCATTGCATGGATTAATTTTTTAAGTGTAATCCTGTTTTCTTATCTATCTATATATCAGTGAACAGACAGGAAGAAAGATCAGTTGAAGGATTACCTCAAGACCATGGGCTCTTGTCTTTTCCTACTCTGTTAGAACCTCCCAAGCAAATTTATCTGCCTGTTTCCACTCTCCTATAGGAACTTTGCCTTCAGAGTCTCCATCTCCAAAATGGTAGCTTTGGTAACTCAAAAACTAGCTTAGCCTTTTGCAGCAAACAGCATTAAGGTCAAGCAGGAAACACCTTGGCCTATGAGTTCCAGGCATTCAAACCTTCATTGATGCTGTCAGTGACATTTTTTTAAAGTTAAAATATCCTGTACAGAAAACCAATTTATGGATTAACTGTCATTTCTACTGGTTCATCATTTCCCCAGTCAGGTCCCAAATTTTAATCAAAATGATTCAGCCCATTTCCCTTCCTCCCGATCCCTCCTACCACCAAATGATTCACCAATAATAGCCAAAAACTACAAACATGCTGTGCTGTAAAAATACAGAGTTAAAACTTTTAGGAAGAAGGCTGTAGCTTGTGGAAAACGCTTGTTGAGAACTTAGAATTTCTTCTTGTTCTCTTACACATCCAATTCTGCAAGTTTTGCCCTTTGTAAACATTTTACTTTCCTCAATAAAGTGCAGATCCTGCTGCCCTCAAATGGTTATCCCCACCTGCCCCAGGTTCAAACCATACATCTTGGACAACCTTTAGCCTCTAAGCTGCTTCAGGGCACAGAAACTATGCTGGCACTTTTACTGACATCCTCTCAAGCAACGTCTGCGGTGTCATGACTGGTAGAAAATCCACAGACGGATCTGAAAGGGCTGGTAATTTCTGTTATCGCTTTGTTGTCATCCTCTATGTGACATATCAACCTCTCCTCAGAACAGGAAATAGCAATCTGTGGTCAACTGATACTGGCTTCTTTATCCATCTCATCAGGAACATGAACTTTCTATTGATGTCTGTATCTACAATAATCCACTGCAGCTCCAAACACCTGGGACGAAACCTTGCAGCCTTTCCGACTCTTGGGTTTGCTCTCCCCTCCCTTATCCTCAGAATCAGCTGTGTGTGTATCTCCTTCCGACATGCTGTTTTCCATGACTATGGAAACTCAGCAGTGAGGTTGGGGCAATCCAGATTCTCTTCTGGATGCCTTATATATTCATCTGAGAAACATTTCTACTTTAGGAGGTACTGTACTTTGCCCTTTAAAAGTCACCTGTCAACAAATTTTTCAGCCACATATTCCTCTTTTGTCTAGCACCTCTTCTATTTTCTTTCTGTTTGTTCCCCCCCACCACCCACACAGCACCTGCCAGCTTCCTGATGTAAGGGGTGACACAGCTCAAGGCAGAAGCCAAGAACTCAAAAAGAATCGGGGCCACCTTGTGGATGCATTGTATTGGGCCAACTGGGGTGTGATGTCCAGAAAACAAACCACGTGGCCACAGATGAGCCCCTCACTAAAGCAGCGTAACACAGACCCTGACTGATAAAGGAATTTTTAAGAAAATTAGCAAAATCTTAGATATGTATGCAATACCAAATAGCCTGATAGGTTTTGGTAACAGTAAAACTTTAACTTTTTCTACTTTTTTCCTTGAACAGCAAAGAGACACTGAGAGACAATGAAAGAGAGAACTCCCACCACTGGCTCACTTCCAATAACCAGCAACAACCATGTCTGAGCCAAAGCTGAAGCCAGTGGCTGGAAAATCAATCCAGCTCTCTTCTACAGTTAGCAGGGAGTTGCTGGAGCTACCACCTATTCACTCCCAGGGTGCACATTGGCAGGAAGCTGACATTGAAGCATATCCGGGGCTCAAACCTATGCACTTACATGTATGTTACAGAGGTCCCAAGGGTTAACTGCCATAGCAAATTCCAGCTCTCCGATACATGTGTGGTTGAATGCTCCTGGGAAGAAGCAATATTAGAAGAAGATAAACTTGAGAAATTTCCAAATTTGATTAAAGACATGAACCCATAATTCAAATACCCTAATCAATTTAAATACAAAGTAAGTCACATATAGGCATATCCTCATTTTAATCGTTGAAGAGCAAAAACAAACTATTGCATTAAGAGGAATTCTAAAATGGTCAGCCAAGTTTCACAGTCATCAAAACACACACATTTTATTCTAGCTATCTAAACACTAATACAAGCATTAATATAAAATAATTTTTTAAATATTGAAAGTTCATGTCTGGTAAATTTGAAATGGGAAAGTACATGGAAAGGAATGAGCTAATCATATAATCTTTTCAAAGTGTGTGTTTTCATTATCTGGTCAGAAGAGAACAAATCAGCTATTTGAACAACAAAGCAGATTCAACATGTGAGATGTTTGTGAGTGGCTCAACCATGGAGGGGCTCACAGAGCAAAAGCGAACAGCCTCTGAGAGCTGACAGTGGGTCTCCGTCAAGAGTTGGTTAAAAACACCAAATAATAAACTAATCACCTCACTAGTACTACAGCTATAGAGAGATAAAGTCGGAGACAAGTGAGCAGTTCTCCAGGAGAGACCCAAGCACCACCACTGCCGAGATGTGAGCCATGGAAACTTTGAAACAATGTTTGTGCTTCTTAAATGGCTGCATGTGCAGTGATTTGTTACATAGCAATAGAAACCAATAAAAAGTTTACAAGTATTGAATGGAGAAGAGATGATATTATTAAAGGAAACAAGACTAAAATATGTTCCTGTGTCAAATAACAAAATTAGTTTTTTTTTTAAAATTATTGAAAGGGGTAGAGTTAAGTATCCAATATGCAATTCTGCACATAGCATATCCTTAAAGGAATAAAAAGTAAAGACATGGGCCCGGCGCGGTGGCGCAGTGGTTAAGATCCTCGCCTTGCACACCCGGGATCCCATATGGGCGCCGGTTCTATCCCGGCAGCCCCGCTTCCCTTCCAGCTCCCTGCCTGTGGCCCAGGAAAGCAGTCGAGGACGGCCCAAAACTTTCGGACCTGCACCCGCGTGGGAGACCACAAAGAGGCTCCTGGCTTCGGACCGGCATAGCATCGGTGGTTGCGGTCACTTGGGGAGTGAATCATCGGACGGAAGATCTTCCTCTCTGTCTCTCCTCTCTGTATATCCGCCTTTCCAATAAACAAAATAATAAAAATAAATCTTAAAAAAAAAAGTAAAGACATGACTATGAACAAATGTAAACCATTTTGTCATAAGTGGCCATTTACAAGGAATACTGACAGAAATTCTTCTGGGAAACCAAGAATTCTCCATAGAATGTTCTTCTCCACGGAGGAAGAACCACAGAACAGGCTTAAAGTAATGCAAGTCTGTACATTCCTATCGCTTCCTTTCTACCTTTTCCTGGAGGACTTGTCCAATGAAGCAAGCCAAAAATAAAGTAATATGAGCATCACGGTTGAAAACAAAGAGAAAAAATCTATGCAATTGAGAAGGATAGATACCGTTCCAACCAAGATTACTCACAACGTGTGAATATGACAAGTACAGGTCCTCATGCCAACAATAAATAATGAGAATATAAACTTCAAAAGCAAACATTTAAAAGCGTTTGCTTTTTAAACATTAAGAACTTGTGTTCAGGACAAAATAGACCAGGAATGAGCATGCATCTCTACCCATTTATCTAACATTTTTAAGTACATGATATGGTAGTTTTATGTCACCGAACATCACAGAGAAGACAGTGACCCCTGAGAGCAGGTCACTGTGAGCAGGTGTGCAGGTGCAGTGAGTCTCCCATGATTCTCCTTTCACTGTCTTGTGAGAAGTTCTCTTACAGGTGACATCAGGCACACAGGAAAATCAGGGGCAAGAGAGATTTTCTGAGGCAAGGACTTGGAAGACTGAAATAACTGTGGCTCAAGCACAGAAAAGCATTGCTCAAAGACTCAGAATTCCGCACTGGCCCCTCAGGCATATATGGTTAACTTCTGAATGGTAACCACATATACCAACGCAAATGTACTCCAAAATAGACTTCTGGTCTGAAAAAGATGGCACAGACTAGTCTATCACTTCTCCTGCCAAGTTTTACAAAGAACATAGAAAAAGGAAAACTCTAAAATGTTGAAAAGAGTGGGTAAAACAGAAACCGCAGAACTGAGAAAGCAAAATGACAGTGTGGGATGCAACAATCCCCCTAACCAACATCAGACACCTGTATCACAAGGCCAACACTCTGATATTTAAGTGCGTCATGGCATTGTAGGCAGTCATAAAAATCAAAGTGTCAAGATACATGTAACAGTTTCATTGGGAATATTTCTTTGACTCAAAAGTGGCGTCTAATACTGCAATGTGTCTTCAATTCCTGCCATGTTAGTCTCCATTCCACAGTTAATCTGTGAGAATATATGTAG